CCTCCTTTGACGATTGAAGAGAGAGTAGCTTTTTCCAACCCTGCTGGAAGTTGGTGTGACTACAGTGTATGTCTGAACAGTCCACATATCAGTGAAGTGACAGCTTTTGTACACTGTTGGGACGAACCCTATCACACGCTGGTGACTTTCCGGGTCGCAAGAAGTTTGATTTTCTCAGACGAATGTTACACAGATCATCAAGTGGTGCTATGTTTGAGTAGTACTCTTAATTTGTAGCAACTCGGTTTAATAGATCAGTAAAGTTGGTGTTCAAAATCTCAGCTATTTCTAGGTTGTTAAGATATTTACCATTTGAATCTTTGAGAGTACAAACACCCTGGTTTGCGGGTTTTCTCTTTTCTCGCCCGTAACAAGCGTTTAGTGTCTCGATTAACCCGAGTTCCCTTTCTCGGTATGTGATGTGCCCGAGGTACATTGAGTTAGACGGTATTCTGGGTGGTGTCTCTGTTTGCCTGTGATTATCTGCTGTTAGCCTTCACCATTTTCGTGGTCATGTGGCGTGCAGAAGGTGCGCTCTCATGCACGTGTGATTTGCCACAATATTACAAATGTAGGGCTCGATTCTGCCTTGCCTGAGTGTTTCGCTTATGACGATGTTAAACATGACTGCTTCAATGTCACTGTTTTCTATTGATGAGTGGACAATGAACATATAGCTAATCGCTTGTCAGCTGAAAGTTCACGGTCGAGAATTTTCCTTGATCCATCTAGTTGCACTGCGTACATGCTCAGTCAGTCCAGGATTTTTAAATCCCTCATCAAGTCGTCTTTGGAACTAATCAGTGGAAGTTGTACCCTCATTGTTGAGATTTAAAGATGAAGTGTATTCGATCAAGCCCGAAGAGTGGCAGTTGCAGTATTGCCTAAGTCAGCTTGTCTTTCTGGGCCTTGGCACCTCAAGGGAGACCGATAAATCCCTTCAATCAATTATTCTGTGCAATTTATGTGGAAACGACACTAACATTATCCTGTCACCTAAGTTGGTGCGGTGTCGAATAGCCGCTCGGCTTTTAAACGACTGTTTAAATATATATAGCCACTACGCCTTTTGTTTGGCATGCTCTGTCGCTTCGGAAGAGTGTCATGCCTTGCAAGCTGACTTCGTCGTCTGCAATGTCAGGGGTTAGCCATGTTTCAGTTAGGATCTGAGAGCACATATTCCCGATTTCTAGCAGTTTAACAATTTGTCCTCTTACATTGCTGTAGTGGCACTTGGTAGTTTTTCTCAGCACTTGATGCACCTCTGCAGCAACAGCCATTGTCGGATTTTCAAACAAGTTGTTTGAACCGGGTTGTCCAGTTCCGTAGAAACTGGCTGTTACGTCCAGTTTTTTGCTCGTTGATCTTATGAAGCACTGTTGTCGTCTATTTGTAATTCACGGTCCCAAATTTCTATACCAAGAACGAAACTCCAAAGTAGATACCAAAGTTTATTCCAAATCACAAATTCGACCAAAATAATTTATTACAAATAGACGACAACAGTGCTTCATAAGATCAACGAGCAAAAAACTGGACGTAACAAAAGTTCTTCTAATTTATTATCTCTTGGAGCAAAAAACTGCAACGAACAACAAAGAGAAACGGGAGTCCAATATGTCCGCAAATAATAATTCAAACAAGTTCATAAGTTAAGTAAAACAAATATACCCAAAAAACAGTGAAATTAATTATATTTATACATGAAGGTTTTAATCAGCAAAATGTCTTCGTTTCTCCCGTAACACTGGCCTCTGCACGTTTATTTGGCTGTGCTGTGAGTTCAATAGGTGAGGCTATTTTCTTCGCGTCATTTGCCGAGGGTTTTTGATCAAGGTCAACTGTCGTTTGTATACGCTGTTAATATCTCACAGATCTGGGTCTACATTCTCAACACCTATGTGGCTAGAGAGATCGTTCTTCGATCTCTACCAAGCCTTCAGTGCCTCAGGCATTTCTGATTTCTCAAGTCCACAGTGGTGACTTAATGGTCGTGAGATGTGATGGACGAAGCAGTCGGTAAATGCTCAATACCATGATGATGTGAAGTCACATGCTATGTGATGGGCACTGTCACTGTTGCACATCATAAATGTGAGCTTCGTCAAAGCTAATACCAAGCAGTGTCTACCATTTAATCTATATCACTTCCCATTGTACATAAACCTTAAAAGTAATTCAAGGGGATTTTACAAAATCCTTGTAATTCTAGGACTGTGATATGAACTTCCGCTCTTGAATGTCCATGTTTTCCGAGGCCTTTCGTCCTTGTAGCCTGTGTATGATTCAGTATTTAAATTTAAAGAGGTTTGAGTTTGCGGGTTATTACTTCTCAGCGTGCCCTCTCGTTTTTCCGAAATCTGTGAGGAGTGCCAGAATGTCTTTAAGATTGATTTTTATTCAGATATCGTCAAGACCATTGACTGATTTCAAAGGTTTTTGAGGTAGGCTGAAGTTAGGATCGTTTGTTCATGATGGTTAGAGTGCAATCGAAGTGCCCGATCTTAGGATTCGACTTTACAGTCGGCTCGTATACTGAACTTTTCCGAGACCAGATCTGCTTAGCATTTCGATGATAATCTCGGATCCTCGTGAATAAATAATTACTCTTTGCATTTGCACTGCCTAATGACGGAGGTTATGGCAAAATGGCGGCCAGATCGTTCATATGTTTCTCAAGTAACTGGGGTGAAATATAAGTTATTGACTAAACTGAAATAAAAGTTCAAAATCGTATGAAAAATTCAAGTCTTCGGACCAGAATCGGTACCTCTGTTGCGTATAGACAGAGGAAAAGCTCTAATGAGGCAAATCACTTTGAGATGACACTTCTCACTCATCAAAAGCTGATAAGTGTAACGAATTTATATGACCTTATGTAACACAGATTATATTCGATGATGAGTTTGCAGAAAATATTATTATCGAATCTCATACAGATGCAGAAGTCGACAATTAATAGTTGTAAAGGTTTTTAAAAGGATTTCATTCAGTTCCAGGTATTTTATTCACTCATTTGCATAGAGATGTATGTTTTTCTGCTGTGAAATGGGAACAGTTAATGGAACCAGTCAAACTTGCTGAAATAAAACAAGTCCAAATTGAATTATTTATCTTCAGATGCCAAAAGCGGGGCAGTGTAAGAAGCGTGATACTAATTTTCTGTTCGAGAATCATCAAGTTCAATTTGTCGGTAAGTCTGTTTGCTCGATATTAATAACAACCATGTTAAAAACAATGATAGTAAATATCATTCGTAATTTTGTTAGATAATCTTATTGATCCTGTGATTCCGAGAATAAATGGAAATTTCAGAACGAAGTACAAAATAAAAAGCAGGTAGACAGTACAGAGTCACTAGCGCCACAAAACGGAATGTTGTCATCACGAAATAAGTTCAATATTATCAGCTACTCCTCTTGACACCTGTTTAAATATTTCACTCTGGAAATTCCATAACACAGTATTATATCAAGCTCTTAATGAAAATCATAAATAAGTCAAAAATCTGTATGCACTTCCTGTCCTTATATTCAAGTAGCGTTATAGCTCTTACCAACTTCATAAACGCTTCAGAGATATCAATTAATCCTTTTTATCCGAGACTCTTCTTATCTGTTGTTATGATAATTTTGTTTCATGCTTCTTAAATATGTTTCATAATCTTATCTTGGTTGGAGAAAACTGGTTGGCCGCCTACGCTCCATTGGAGGTAACATGCGTAAGAAAGTAAGTTAAATCTTATCCAGTGAGAATCTAACATCAGTCATGAGTTTTAGAATTTACGATTTCATTTTAATGAAACTAGATGCTATGAATACATTTGTTCTGTGTATTTTTAAATGGATCATTATGAACTGGGATACATTTCACTATAAAAACTTATCCTGTCCACTCAGATTTACGAAGTCTATATTTGGTTACGGTTTTCAGGATGATTTTTGCAACGGACTGTGAGAATATAATCAGTGAATTTGTATCGAAGCTCAGTATTTTCCTTCTGGAAGCTGATGTTAATTAGTTACTGTTAAACTATTGATTATCATCATAAACAGCGAACCTTCCGTAGATTATGGATTGCACACTCTGAAACAATCAGCATTATTGCTATTAACCATTCATATTTCCTCCCAGCACATTTCTTATATCAGCTGACATGTCTGTCAGTCAATCACAGTGGAAATGCATTCCGCCCGTTAGCATTCAAACATCCATGATCACAAACGAAATATCAGAAATTCAAACAACAATGAATTTAACCCTAACCTGTTAAATGAGTTATTGGTTTACAATTGGCGTTCATGGAGCCTTGGAAGTTTGAAGATATGTTGAAAGTGCTGGAGTTGTAAATGTCAACACTGTTTTTATGGTATATTTTACGTGTTTTGGTGATGAATTGGTCCAGTGTAATTGAGATTCTTGTTTTGCACATAAAACTATTAGATAAGAAGTTTGCTCTCCAACAGAATTGTACTGAAATTCAGTTAGAAGGATCTGTACATTCAATATAAACTTTGACAGAAAATTTTCGCTGGAAAACTCAACATGAACACCAATATTTATTTCAACATCTAGGCCTAGTATACAAATAGCCTATAGCTCAGGTATCAATCACTACTTCATATAATAATGATAATAATAGCGATTGTATAAGCATGAAGTCCAGTTACAAAGATAGGACTTTATGCACTGTTTCCGCTCGATAATTATCTCGACAGGAATCTTCCACCTCTAAGGAAGTTAAGATAGCTTCTTATGATTCTTAGTAAGAATCGAATAGTCTGTGGGGCTCAGGAATACATTTACCAGTGATATGTAAAGATTTGTAACTTTATTTGTCTTTCTGAGGCTATTCAATCACTTTTCAAAGAATTTTACGTCAGTTTTGGTTGTGAAAACATCAATCCATCATGAGATAGTGTTACTTTAAAGACTTGAGTGTGTGGAAACGATTTTCGTGTTACTTTCCAAGGTTGTATCTGAAGCGCTGTGTTTGCTTGCACACATGGCTAGTGCGGTTTCGGAAGTTTCTTTTATTTCTTGGGCATCAGCTGCTACAGAATGCACTAATCCAGTATTCAAAACTGCACTAAATCAACCATGGCCTAATGCATCGATGCAAAAAGATGTGCTGTCAGTACTTGCAGCTGTTACTAAGACCATTAAAGATAATGGTGGAAAAGAATCGCCTACTGAGTACTATGCTGCCTTGGTTAGTAATATTTCATAGAAAGTGATTGTTTGTGGTTCCAGTTGACGCTGTTGAATGAGTCATCTGAAAAAGCTGCTGTTGCTTATTTACTTAAGCTAGTCATGTGCAAAGCGTAAGTTTGTTACTCATCTTATAGCCTTTAGTGTCCAGGATTCACTACTGCGTAAAACATGTGGCGAAGCTGCCAAAACACTTATTAAACTTCTGTCGTCTCATAGTGTCAATACTGATGCCTGTCTGATTAAATCCGTAATTTTCAAAATCGTTTTATTCAATTCGTAGGTCTTAACGTGCCTCGGGAAACTCTTACGGGCCCAGTCATATGATTCCTGGTCAACTGAATCTATCCGTCATATATATCGCCACGTGTTACGCTTCGTTGACAGCGAAAAACCCAGTATTCGAAAATCATGCCATTTATCAGTTGTTGATATCTTGGGTTCATTGAACGTTGTCAGTTTAACTGGAGATGTCATTTTTCACCCCGCTTGCCATCAAACCCAGGAACACTTATGTTCTGTTATCCGTCAGGCGACTAAGTAGGTCATTTAGTTACCTGGTGGAATTAGTGTATCTTCAATTTGTTTTTCAATCTGGCAGTTATTCCAAAAAGATTAACCAACTGAATTTTATTGCGTATTGTCGTAATTAATAACAAGAGACGTTTCACGTTATTTCAAATGTTTAAAGCCATGTTTATCACTACTTAGTCGCGAAAATGCTTACACAATGTTAAATTTAAGTTTATTATTGTCTAATTTTCACTTATAGTACCTCGTTTCTCAGAATTTGTCTGAAGTATGCTCCCTATCAAGCGCCTTTGAAAAAACCGATTTCGTATTATTATTTTGAGAACATTTTCCAGGTTTAATATTATCAACTCACATCACGTTCTTGTATATTTCATAATCATTATGATGAAAATAAGTTTATAAAACCGCGATTAACACCATACAGTACAAAGACGTATAGTTAGTGACTTACGTAACTTGAAGTTCCTAAACCGTTCATAAAATTTTCGAAGTCACCAGTATTTAGAATTCTAATAAACGGGATTCAGATTAACCTGAATTGTTCCATTTGTCATTCACTTCAAAAACGAACTGGACAAAGGCGCATATTAGTGTTTCCTTTATTTACTGATATCAAACAAAATGAACAATTATATCTAATCTACAGCTTTTCCACATGGATGTATTATAACTTAAATAACAGATCTAATGGTTTAAATAAGCATCTTTATTTACTTTACAACCCGGTGAGAAATTATTATCATAGTTTCAGTTTTTATTCCCAATTTATTTTAACGGGACTATTCAAAATATTTCATTTAACACCGTAAAAAGTAAATGACTAGTTATTAGTTTTTTTTTTTTCAGGCAACTGATATCCACACTACATACAAAGGATGTTCATTGCACTCGGCTTTTGCATTGTCTAAATTTATTAACTTCAATAATCCCTCTACTCCCTTCTAAAGATGTAAAATTGGCTTGTGAATGTGTTCTTGAGTTAGCAAACTTCCCGAACCCATTGGTGAGTATATCGCTTTGAATTTATTTACTGAGTTTTTAGAACGGGTAACCTTATTAATCAAGCTATATGAAAGTGCAAGGTTCAATTATTTTGCAGAAAACTACATACTAAACTAGTTATATCAGGCAAAACTCTAAGATAAATCACATTGAAAATTCAGAAACAATTCAGATAGATTCTCCATGCACTATCACTTCTGTTCATAATAACTTTAATAGTCATCAAGGTATAAAGGTGAATAGTTTCATATAAATTATAAACTCTAGAGTCACAATTAAACTAACAGAGTTTAAATTCATCATGCACAATTGTATAGATTACTTCACTAACCTCGCTTAAATGATGAAGCCCAATATCTAATTGTTAAGAATATAATCGAAAAAATTCTCATTCAAACTTCGTCCGATTAATTAAATACTTGCCTTTTCTGTTATATCTTTGTACAACATTTTTGTGACTGAGATATTAAGATTAAATTAATTGAATTACATTAAATCAAAGGAGAATAATTATTCGTAAAGTTGAAAACCAACATTTTCTGTACTGTATTCGGACTACAGATCAGCACATTCCCATTCCACCAAAGTTACAATTGTCAAGATTTTGATAAACAAAGCTCAAGGAAAACATCAAGACGAAGTTTTTATTCACTAACAATGAATCAACAACTAATCCAACCACTAATCAAGAACTACATAAACTACGCTAAATTAGATATGGTCCATTTAGCTGATCAATAGTCTTGCGTTGGGCAATAATTGCTATAAATTACTCAATAACTTATTGCATACTTACATTTTGCAACATCAATAGCAAATGCGAATAAATGAAAGGGTTACATACTTGCTCCTTCCTAACGGTTCCCAAGTTGCCTTAATTCACTAGCATTTGTGCTTTACAAAACCCTAAATGTATATGTTGCAATGCTATAAAAAAGCGTCTCAATCTATAGGATTCTTTTATTTTACGAACATTAACATCGATTCATTTTGATAAAAAAAAACTTATTTTTATGTAAATCGGTGTGATTATTACTACACTTGATTTTGTCTCTTTTCTTATTAGGTTGTCACTAAAATGTTCCACGGTTTTAAAATAATGTTTGATTCAAAACCATCGTTAAAAACTTTGCCTGTTGATATAGCTGCACGTCTTTTGACAGCACTGTATTCGTGTCGACCCAATGATCCAAATGTTTTTACAATGTCTTCTACGAATAATACATGTACTGGAGTGGATGCACTAATTTCTTGGATGCAGGCTCTTGCCTCGGGATGTGCATATTTATGTGACTTGTCATTGTTAGCTGTGAAAACTGAGGATAATGAATTAAAGCAAACAATTGAAAATGTGGGAAGATTTAGTATACAACGATTGGCTAATGAACACTTGGATCGTTTAGTCAAAACGTTAATGTCTCTGTTGATATCTACTCCACTTCCACAGTTAAGAGAACCAATTACTCAAAAACTCAATCAAATTTTTACGGAAGTTGTAGTAAGCTAGTTATTTCATAGATCCTACTACCTAAAATTTTAATTCTGAATGTTCAAACTTTTTAACATGTATACGCATATCATTAAGCCTGCTTCACTGTTTGAATATGCCAGAAAATCTAGGAATATCAATTATTTTGTACGTAACTGCAACTCATCGGATAACTAAATTACCTTGTATTTCGACTCTTTTGTTATATAGAGCTGATATTTGTCCGAGATCTATTAAAGTGTTATCCTTATAGTCGAAAATTTCCAAAATGTCAGGATTTGTCACATTTGTATTCAAAAAACAAGCAATGGAAGTATCAACCATTTTTTCAAAACAATGTAATTAATTGCTCAGCATATGGATCAATCTATATGTTGCCACTGGCATTTTGTTTTTGTTTCAAAATGCTGAACCGTTCATAAGATAGTGAAGCTTTTCTAGTTTTATTTGATATTTTTGTATTAGAAATAATGTTGTTTGACATCTTGACAATGATTATTATTATCAGTGTTTTAACTCTTTCGGGTTCTCAACGTCCATGCGAAAAATCTGGCAGTTTGTAAGCACTCAGTTAACTGATAGTTAAATACATTGATCAGTCAGTCAAGCAACGTAAAACTTCATAAGGATATCAATTTTTCTGATTCACCTCATACCACAGCCAGATAAAGTTATCGAGGAGAGAATACCAAAGTCATAATTTTATCATGATAGTTAATAAAAAAGATTATCAGCAGTGTATAGAATTTGAGAAGAAACAATGTATTCGGTGGATTAAACTTATACAGTAATTCTGAAGTCCACTACGTAACAATAGACAAGAACTGAATGTATCTGTGTCCTTGCAACCACCTCGATGCCTTGTCACCCAACGTCTCCAGCTAGTAATCGCTATAACTGCACATTGTACCATTTAGGATTCATTAAAAGATTACTGGTTATTGCAGTCAGTTTCATCACTGTATCTTTCAAAAATAGTAAAAAAAATGTAACATTCATTATCCTTATTCCCATCTCCTAAGTTGTCACTAATCTCCAGATCATTACGTGTTCGCTTTCAATTTTAAGGTTATGCCTTCAAATTCTGCTGTTTCCAGTAATGGTTACTAAATAGTGTCGTTAAACGTGATGGTTGCGTTTGCCTATACGTAGTTGCTAGGTCCCATTCATTCTGAATATGTGATTCCATAAAACTGCAAAAACGGTGTATTGCCTTATTTTGTTGGCGAAAGCCTAAGACCAAGTTAAAACTGATTTTAATGTTCGCAACCACATGAAGCTCATGAATTTGACATTTTTAATTCGTTTCATTTGTTCCACCAGCTATTAATTATGTTTACAAGTTGCATACTTTGGAAAATATTCTGTCAGCTATACAACATATTATCTCTCCCCTTTCTAAATTTTAGGATCCTCAACTTGAATCATGTCAGCTGGCTGATATACTTCCAGACTTTATTCCTAATGTTCTATGCAGTTTTATTACCGGTCTTCAATATACACATTATGAAGTATGGAACCATATATTATGCTTAATTGGTCGATTTATTATGATTATTTCTAAAGTATTCCCCTCCAGTACATTACTAACTTTTAATTCTCTAATTGAATTATTAAAAGTAGTCTTGCATCTACGTGATTGTCTAGTTGATGGTCCTAAAAGTTTAATTAATCTTATCCATGTTGATCCGGAGAATTTTTCCTTAATTGGATTGAATGATTTGGGTGAGAAAGTTATTGATGGACTTGATAGTGTTTGTTTATTAGCTGTTGAATATATCGGTCCGGAATTGATTCTACCCGGAAATATATTTTCTTTGGAAATGATTATCAACGAGTTGTGAGTTATTTATATTAAAGTTAATTATATATATATTCAATCAGTACGTGAACTTCATTTCAAGACACCTCATTCTTATTTTCGCAAAAATCCTCAGTTGTGACAATATACTGACCCTATCTCCATTGTTTCCACTATCTGACTCATCCCTAGAAGTCGTCCAAAGTCAGACTCTTCAACGTTGTTAATTTTCTCTCACAAATCTTCTAACCTAAAATGTTTAGCTAGAAGCGTGTGTACATATGAGCTTATCAAATTCACTTCGTCAGCATTTATTAGGACTGTATGGATGTATTATTAAAAACACCGTACACGCTTCATGTCTTCATTAACACAGGAGGTCAACGGTTAACTTGAACATGCTCCATCCTCGTAGTCTTCACATCTCTCTTTAAAACGTCTGAGGCGTGTTTTTTTCTTCAATTGGTTGTCTCTATAAACAGACCTAACACACCACTTAGTGTGAAATTTATTAGTTTCAGTGAACACGTAAGTTGCTTAGCCCGTACACTTATTGGATAAACCATATGTGTACTCTGTGCGTTGTATAACTCAAAGACATCTTCCGTTTAGCCAGACACAAAGTAGAACTTCTTACGTACGTACATGTCGCATTAGCACACATCAAATTGGTAATAACACGTACAGATAGGGACACTCGCCGTTGTCTCTTCGTCGTCTCTGTCTACGTCCCGACTGACTGTAGCTCGGACGAGACAAAATATTAGTTTTGCAGAAACCTTTCTAACCTTCAAAAATTTGAGCACTCTGATGTAGTAATAATGTTTGGTAACTTCAGTGCTCAAGTAGGTAGACTAAGCGAGAAGGAAAGATACCTGGGTGGTGTCGCGGCTAATAGAACAGTTAATGGCAACTGTCTGCTGCAGCTATACTTAGATAACCGCCTATTTCCAACGAATACTAACTTGAAGCATAAGGAAAATCACATTTTGACATGGCGACCCCCAAAACTGACCTGACAATGAACTCAACTAGACCACATTGCTAGAGAGGCTCCATTGAAGACTGTCACTCAGTCTGGAGCACTTGTTTAGATTCAGATCATGCTCTAGTACGAGCGCGTATTTGTTTGCTGCTTACCGGACGTAGGAAAGACACCTCGAGGAAACTTCTTAGGGTTCTACTTAATGACAAAAAAGCTAAGAATGTATTTCAGAAGCAACTAGAGAGTTAAGCAACCATGTAAGCGATTCCCATCCGGAAGCAGGTTGAAATGATATCAAAAAGGCTGTGGAAACAGCAGTGATATCTGCTAGTAAGGTAAACCATAAGGCTAGAATGAAGCTGTGGATCTCTGTAGTATCTACCGAACTGATGGATGCTCGAAAACTCATCCCGCCTGGCTCTGAGTGCGATGAGGAGCGAAGTCAGCTTACACACAGGCTGATAAAAAGCCGCCTACTCAATGATCGAGAACAGTGGTGGGTGGAGAAAGCGAGAGAGATGGAAAAGGCAGCGGCGATAGGCAACAGTTGGCAACTATTTAGACTCATCAAGGAAACTGGTATTAGGAACCCAAATGTTAATGAGACTATTTCGGAAAAGGATGGTCTTATTATCCATTCTCAATCCAGGAGACTGGACCGATGGGCAGAACACTTTAGGGTCAGTTCAACTGTCCTTCAGCCACTCTTCGGTTTAACACGATCTCCAGTCATCCTGAATGGCAAATTGACGTAAGTCCCCCTAGTCTTGATGAAGTTGAGAAAGCGTTAGGAAATCTGAAGCGACATGGCTCAAAATCATTTGCAATGGTGCAGGTGCATCTTTGCGTTTTTTAAAATTCTAATCTTCCGAATTCCTCATCACCTCTATCTTTCTCTTTCTAAATTAATTTCACTGAATCATTCTTGAATAATATCTTCGAACATCCAGTAGGTTTATTTCAGTTTCACGATGTAATTGACAATGTATGATGATGTCCATGTAGCTAATTTTTAATGATAACATTCAAAAGTTTATCCTTTCAGTTCGTCACACTATTGGTACTCATAATGTTAATTCTTAAATCTTGGGTCAAAATAAACTTATCATCTGTGCAAAATGTTCAATACAAACTGTGTACTCATGATTTAAAAATGAGATCTTTTAATTACTTTCATTAATTAACTGCTTAATTTTTTTTAATTTATTCAACTTTTAGAGAGACTGGTAAAATTGACCTGCAAAGATCATGGTTTCTGCCGTTGTTATCGCGTGCAGTACCACAGAAATCAACTGCATTATCAATCTTTCATAAGCATATCCTTCCTTTAGCTGACAGAGCTCTTGCTGTAGCCATTAAAAATTCTTCAACATCTGATTTATCTGATAAGACAAAGCCCCCAAATCATGCATTGATAACTTTATCAATTAAAGTTGCTTGCCAACTTTGGTCTTCATTAAATATGTTTGTACATCACAGTCCTACTGATTGGTCAGAATTATCAACTGCTGGATTAGGATGTCGATTAGTTAAAGAATTGAATTCAACTCCCGCATTAAGACCAATTATTCTGCATGTATTTCGTCGATTAGCTAAACTAGCTGTTGATAATGGTACGTTTGGGTATTTATTTAATAGATATCTTCAAAATTTTATGAAACTACTACCTGCACTCGTTAGACATAGTTCATATTTTTCCCGATGGTTAATTGATTGTGTACCTTTCTTGATCATTTTGGTCTTGTTGTTTAGCCGATTCGGCTTGCGTTGGCATTTTCTTTAACAGAACTCATTCACTAGTTACATGTTTTTGTATTCAACTTTTCTAATTACACCGCGTATATGCAACTGTTTCAACTGAAGTAAGTCAAGTGAAATGGAAAGATGTCGCTGGAACGTATTCTTTGAAAACTAAATGCTTCAACCATTAAGCTATCGTTCTATCACTATGCTGCTTGTTAAACAAAACATTGAAGTGGTAACTTAGTTTAACCTACGTTGGTGTTCAATACTTAGGGAATTCAGTTTTCAATAAGTAGATTAAGGTTACTTAGAAGTTAACGTGTTCGTCTTTCAACTAATTAGATCGTATATTTGAGTCACATTCCAGCTACCTCAGTTTGAGCAGCCGATAGAATTATCAGCCCTCAGTGTGGCGAAGAGCTAATTATATAAATCTGTACTTTTTTCTATTCTCTAAACTCAGATCCTCATATTCTTTTAGTTAGATTTACGTCTAAAATTGTTTGTATAAATTTATGTAAAATACAATCCCTCAATCCTGAAAATCAGAATCAAAGCATAACAAAAATCACTACTGTATCTTGCGAATCATCGGTGAACATCTGGATAAAACTGAAGTCTCACACTGTCTCAGTAACTATACTACCATGAATACGTATGTTCACTGGTTATCTCTCAATAAAACCCGCCAAGATCTATCTTAATATTTTTCGATTATTTTTTTCAACTATGTAGGTGATATGTCTCTTTCATTTACCAGGTACGGTCTCATATATTGTACTTTAAACTGCATTCCAATTGTGCAAAGGCTAGTAACACTATGTCTGACTGTCCTAACTTAAGTACTATTAGTAGAACTGAAGCGTGAAGTTCAGCAGTTAAAATTCAAATTATATGACTGTCGAAATCACTTTGAAGTTTTAACAGAAAGAGGATACTTCTGCGCATAGATAACAGGTCACTAAGTAAAGTGAAACAGCTCTCTAACTCTTGTTTATGATTTCTAATTAATCTTTACCCAAGACCAGTCCATTTTATAAACTAATTTCACACTCCAAGTCAACATCCGAATACTTGTTGTTCTGGCATTGTGTTCCTTTGAATGTTTGTTATCATTAATTACTATTGTAATTATCATCATACTTTCGTAGTTACTATTAAATATGTATTCTTTTTTTTCCCAAAAACAAAAAAAGATCTCGCCATTACAGTTATGCGTGGTGGTGCTAAAACAGCCATACCGAACATGTTATCATTGTATGAAACATTGAACACATCTACACAACATTCATTAAAACAAAAAATTCAAGCCACCTTATCATATTATCTACCAATTTTATCACCAAAAGTAAGTATTTCAATTAGTTTATTCTTATTTAGAAAATAAAACTGTCATCGATTAGACTAGTAAAAATAATTAAATAAAAATTCAGCCAATGTTTTTTTACTGTTTTTTTATCTCTCCAAGAGAAAATTACAAGTGTGTGAGTGAGTATCAAGAAGAAGAATTTTTAATTTCCATTGGTTTAAACTTTTGGATTTGGAAATGGTGGTGAATCACAAACTGGAAAATAAATCTCATCTAATTAGTAGTTCTAAACTACCAGTCGATGTATGCCACTAATCCCCCAGACTTTAGAATTCATACAAAGTTTCTAAATTGGACTTCAGCAAAAAAAAATCGCGTAGTCATATTGTCCTCCGTTACTACATATAGTTAGGGGCGGCCAAACCAAAACATGGCAGAAATCCATGAAGTCACTGACGAGTGGACTGAGTCATGTTGGTAGATGTAGACTACCTGGTTGGGGTCCGCGAGATGATAATAATCGATGGTTAGAGACCTTGAATGACATGGCTCAAAATCTTTCGCAATGGCGCCGGTGCATTTATTCTTTGTGTTCTCTCAAAACCTAATCTGGATTCTTCAACCCCTCTAGTTTCGACTTTCTAAACTTCGCTCACTGAATCATACTTCTTGAATAATATCTTCTAATCCTAACCTCCGATTATTACTAATACCTTTACTACCTCTACTACTATTGGATTTGAATTGACTATTACATCTCTGTGCTGATGTGGTATGGCGACATGAACTGATGTACTTACGTACAAAGTTCTACGTTGCATCTGACTGACTGACCATTACTACATATAATAATGCAGTCAAGCTGTTATTTATGTTATATTTTTTTCCATCATTATTTCTTGAGATTCCTGCATGCATGCATACCTAGGAAATTACTTGATTACCTTTGTAAAAATGTGGTGCTGTGGTGCGAGCTACTTATAAGTAGTATATGACGTGAGCGTCAACGTAATGTCTGGCAGCCGAAGATGGGGGGAAGAAAATTACTTGATTACCTTTGTAAAAGTATAAATTATGCTTTTATTCAAATACACAAAGAAATGTATGATAGAGTGATTGTTATTTTCTTAATATTTCAGATGATTAGCTCTTTAACAAAAACTGCCATGATCAAATTTGAGAATACAAAAGAGTAAGCAATAATTTGTGAATAATAATAATAATAAACTTTAAAATAATAAAAATCGAAAATTCTTCTTCGTTTTGCTTGGACTATGATTACTGATCATTTTTCATCGAAAACTCGAAAACAATTGCCCTATCCTTGATAGTATTGATCATATTGATGAACAGTTTCTGTAATATTATTATAAACTGACAATCTAACATTTGCGTTTTACCCATAGATGATGATCTCAAATTTCGATTGGTTATTGATTTATCATCTGTAAATCGTTTACCAACCAACCATACAGATTTTATTTTATACCACCACGATATGCTACCCTGTTCAAGTGTTCAAGTGTTGCTCAAAACGAAATCGATGTATGGAATGTGAATTTGGGACATAGTGGCACTAAATCTATAAACGCCCTCATTAATTTTTATTAGTTATTGTAGATAGTAAAATACGTTTGTATTCCATGAGCATGAACATAAGTCGTGCAACCCACATATACACACCGCTTACATCATCATCTCATCACTTATATTGTGGTGCTGTGGTGCGAACTACTTATAAGTAGTATATGACATGAGTGTCAACGTAAAGTCTGGTAGCATAATATGGGGGGAAGATCAAGAAAGGAGGAGTTAGAAAACAATGGAATTTGTATGAAACGCATGAATAGTGACAATGGAGTGATGTTTTGCAACAGGAACAGTCCAGTTCGATATGATGAACTGTTATTTTGCAAATGAACGATTTACGATATGGTTTTCCGATTTTACTGAGTAACTCTGTAATTTTCGCTAAATACAATTCGGTTGCCCCACCTGTGTTCTCATTCACTACAATATGATAGAATTTCAGAATCTCTTGAAACATACGTATATATATATTAATACACATCCTCTTGCATGCAATTTCACTTGCTATTTATACACCTCAACTCTTTTTTCGATTATTGTTGATTTTTTTATAGACCAGTTTATTTGGAAATATTTCAAATTTTAATTGCTTACAATTCTGTACAAGAACTGGAACAATTCATAACAAGAATTAATGAATATTTAAATGTAAGTATTCACAAACTCAACATTTTATCGAAATAATTCGCTTTTGTTAGTTAAAAAAGAGCATTGTTTGTTTGTTTTACTAACACTGGCTGGAATAACATTTCTTATTCTTAATTATCTAAGTTGAATCATAAGCATATTGGTTGTAGTAAAATTAGTGTTACCATGTTATAACACCGACTTCCGTGGTTTGGATATGTACTATGAATGTCGTCTCATAAAAATTCCTCATCGTGCACTATCTGCAAACGCTGGTATTGGTTGGAAAAGGCGAAGAAATGGTCAGTGTATGACATATTGCCGCGATATGAAAGAAAACTATACAGGACTAGTATTTTTTTGGTCCTCTCCTTCTCCGTGGTTGGAGTCCTAGAAATGCTGTAACTCAGTGGCTTGAGACTTGTCAAATATGGCACAGAATCTAAACCAGTGGCGATCCGGTATATATGCAACTTGACCATTAGGTAGGTAGATGAAAACATTAGAGTTAAACGATTGAACTAATATTTTTTCCTGTGCTCTTACGTTATCAAGGTGTTACACGATAGTTTATCTATGCAATTCACAATCGTCATTGACTTGAGGCATTTCCCGTCTCTTCATCTATTGTCCATAGTTCTCTTCTTTCGAAACTGTCTAACAGCGTTTTCGCTGTTTCTTCATCTCTATATGTCATATTTGTAGTTGATTTCATGTTTGATCCAAATACTCTTTTTCCGTTGTGTGTACTTGATAAAACACCAAGGGTCCACCATTTATTGACTATACCATGTATCTATGTGGAATAGTTTGGTTGGTTATTTGTGACAAAACTTTCGTCTTCAGATTTAAATCTAATAATTGTGAAACAGTCATATTTATGCCAGGCGTCATTATGAATTCCCTTTATTCATTTAAACAGTTTAATTGAGTGTATTTACGAACAACCAAGTGTTGTAAGATCAATAAATGTTGTCGATTTTATTGTTTGCTTGTGTCCCGAAAATCTGAAAACCAATGAGTAAAAAACTACGATGTGAACAAATCATGATAAACCGTCTTACACACACACACACACACATGCGCACACATTAGATTCAAGACGATTTTCCATGCATCTTTAATCGAAAGAAACCATGAATAACACAATTATAATACCTTAAGTACACTGGATAAAAATTATGCTATTTGTATGTATACATTTACTCAAATTTGTAAATTTTTTTAAAATAATTCTATTCCGACCAAGTAACTGAATATGATATTGAATGTTTTCTATTTATTATTTATGTTCAGCATCTTCAAATATATATATATATATATATAATCTTTTGAATACTCTTCTCATTCTAGGATATACAATTATCGAAACCTTTAAAAAAACGTGTTTGTCGTGTTTTAGAAAGTATTTGTGCTGGCAGTACTAATCAAACAAATGAATTTTTAAATTTACACTTTGATGATATCATTCGCATGATTTATAATTTAACACAAAAACCAATTATGAATAATCATGATAATTCAATGAATGAAAAAACAAATGAATCATTGAAAATTGACAATAATTGTAATGAGAATATTGAAAAAAAATTAACTACATTATCAATATGTGAAAAAATAAAACATGACAAACATAATAAATTAACAACTCGATACTTTATACCATGGAAATCTATTTTACATTGTATTCAACATTTATTTAAACATTTAATCACTAATGAATTGAATATTGTAATGAATAATGCTAATCAATCTATTGATGAAAGTATAATAACACCTAAGAATTTAATGGATAATGAACGTTTAAAAGAATTTGCAAATATGTTTTTACCTGAAGTAGGTGGTATATTTTAATTTTTTTTTAAAAATTGAATTTATTGCTTAAATGATTTTAAATTTTCTCATGAAAAAAGTTAAGAATAATTCATTAGAAGCATAAAAATCTTGAGGTTGATTTGTTGAGAGAGCAATGAATGCCTAACTAGTGTTGCATTCAGATTTCCATTCACTGCAATTAATTCAATTTGAGCCTGCACGCAAACACGTCATTTTGATATGCTTGAACTATTACGAGCTTACCCAGTCGGAAAACGAGAGCGAGGATCGAGGATCCGGCGATACGACATGCTACTCAAATCCGATCATCCGAACCCCCATTGAATAAAAGAAGAAAGCTTGATAGGAAGTAGAATTTGTATTCTACAAGCATCCAGGAAGTACGAGGTCCGAATCCAGAAGAGAATCAGGATCCCGGACTAGGGATGCAGGACCGGGTCCTGGTCATAAAACGTTTCAGGCAATGCGTATTTATACATTTAGGTCGAATAGGAAACAGCATCGAAGTCTGTGACATTGACAGGTAAGACGACCAATAGGAAGCAACATTTAAAGTTACATTGATAGTCAGGACAACCAATAAGAAACAACATTGGAGAATGTGACATTGATATCTAGGACGATTATAAGATTGGCCAGTAAGAATTAACCAATAGGAATTGGCCAGTAATTCTCTTAGGATATTGGATGAATATCCTAACCATTATTAGCCCTTATACGCAAGATACAATTAAAACTAAACACATGAACCTGTATCTAGTAAATTAATTAACAATTCATAGTTAATTAAGTTTATTTATTTACAATACGGGAGTGTAATATCTCATTCTTCTTTTCTCTATGATGATAGTTCAATAGTGATTCCCTCCTCGTATTTCACGTCAGCAAGAAATTTGGCCACGTATTGAGCGTACTTATGTTCATAGTAATATTTAGTTACAGCCTTTCATCTTTCATTATTCCCCAAACTTCCTGGTACGGCTAAGAGTGTAGCGAGTCTGCTATAACTGTCGAAATACTGTCACATGGCCCCGCTTATATAGCCACTGGTAGGGAAGTTCTACTCCGTGTTCTCGCAGCGGCAGTCTTGTTCTCGAAGTTGAAAGGACGTAAAGCAAATGTCAGGTTCCTAAACCGGGTTAATGAGTACGGAAGATCCACCTTGGGGAGTTGGAAAACTCTGACTCTAAACCATTGATGTGCATGTGCTCTAGTATCCTGATGGAACAACTGGTGTACGGACCTACTATTGATCACTGGTTACCATAGAAGTGCATCTCTTGATATAGTTTCACTGCCTTGTTTATTGGATTTCTGGACCAAAGGCTCAGGAAGTGGTTCGCTAAGGAAACCGCTTGTTTCATATTGGGCATTCAGGTAGTATCCCGTGGTACACACAAATCCATTGGTGCCACATAAATATTTAGGTGCTTTTTTGTACCATTTATTATAGTCAAAATAGAATGGTAGTGTTGATCCACTAGAGTATCTGAGGGATAAGTTCTCTCTTGTTTATTTGATTTATAATTATAAACTTTATTTTAATGAATAAATTTAGTTAATCCTTCCACTCTTACCATTATGCTGTGTTAAGTTTTTTCATAAATCATTGTTCAATCCGAATTGTTTTTATTTTTTTTCTAGATATTAACCTGTTTGTGTGAATTAAATAGAACAGTAAGAGATTTAGCTGGAAATTTATTAATCAATCTTGTCTATGCATTTGCTGGTCAACAAGCATGGGATAAAAATAAATCCTCTTTACCGCTATATCAATCACAAAGCAATTTATTAACATTTGATAATAAGAGTTCACGTCCACCAACAATAATGCATAATATTATGAATGATGACACTGACTCTGATGAAGATGATAACAATAATGATAGACATAATACTAAATCTACTAAAACTTCTTTAACAGGAGGTTTAACATATTCTGACGGAGAAGATAATGATGATATTATGTCAACAAAGTCTATGCCACGTGGTAGTCTAATTTCTGAACAAGTAAGTATATATATCTATATATCATATGTAAATAATGATACTATTTAACTATCACTCTTTGGTCTCAAGCTATTTTCAACGTACAATTTTCGCTCAGTTAGTGATATAGTGAATATCACTTGCGACATCGCATAAATAGTGTAGTTTAAGGCCTCAAGTTTACTAGCTTATTACTGGGTAAACAGTTTACACCGAATCGAATAATTACTTCTAATTAAGCGCCACAGAAAATTTTCAATAGCTACGTCCATATCCATGTTAATATTACATTTACTTGCATTTTTCAGTGTAAACGCTCACATTTAGACAGAAAATCGTTCGCAATGGCGCCGGTGCATTTATTCTTTGTGTTCTATCAAATTATAGCCTTCTGGATTCTTCAACACCTCTAGTTCCGAATCTCTAAACTTTTCTCACTGAATCATACTTCTTGAATAATATCTTCTAATCCTAACCTCTCCGATTACTTCTAATACCTTTACTACCTCTACTACTATTCGATTTGAATTGACAATTACATCTCTGTGCTGATGTGGTATGGCAACATGAACTGATGTACTTACGTACGAAGTTCTACGTTGCAACTGACTGATTGACTCTACAATTAATTAGTTTATAAGTTATTTTTTTAGAACTTTTTTACTAACAACACTAATTCAGTATGTTAATGCCTAAACCTGGACCTTTAGTTGCAGTATGTACACAAACTAATTGATACCGAGATTTCACATTGAGAAATAACACTTGAACAGTTAAAAAAGAAACCAAAGTTTTATATATTTTCGTATGATAAAAATTCAAAATTTAAATTAAAAACACAAATACAATTTGATTTTCTTCTATATCAAGTTTCGAATTCCATGTATTTAACTTGTATTTAAATTATTTGCATTACGGGGTTGTGAAGATTGTTAAGTTACGCATTTTTGAAACCATGAATAGATCAATGTTAGACCACCATTAGAAACCTGGAAGCATGGACGGCTGTTTCGTCCTGGTATGGGACTCAGCAGTGTGCATCCACGACTCCTGCACCCCGCAAGATTCGCAAGATGTTGATTGGTTTGTTTATTTATTTGTCCCAACTGAGGTTGTATAGTTCAAACATTTCATTGATTTTCATATGTAGTGTTACTACTGGTATTGGGGCGGCCAGACTAAAACATGGCAGAAATCCATGAAGTCATTGACGAGTGGACTTAGCCATGTCGGTAGTTGTCGACTACCTGGTTGGGGTCCGCGAGATGATAATAATCGATGGTTAGAGACCCTGAATGACATAGCTCAAAACCGTTTGCAATGGCGCCGGTGCATTTATTCTTTGTGTTCTCTCAAACCCTAATCTTCTGGATTCTTCAACCCCTCTAGTTTCGACTCTCTAAACTTTTCTCACTGAATCATACTTCTTGAATAGTATCTTCTAACCCTAACCTCTCCGATTACTTCTAATACCCGTACTAACTCTTCTACTATTGGATTTGAATTGACAATTATATCTCTGTGCTGATGTGGTATGGCAACATGAACTGATGTACTGACGTACGAAGTTCTACGTTGCATCTGACTGACTGACTGACTGGTATTGGAACTTTCAGTATTTTTTTCACCGTACAGTTTATATATTTATATTGTAAAGTTAACATTCTTTTCATTGTGTTTCTTTTTTTCAATGTCTTTGTATTCTCTTAGATATGTTACGCTTTAAATTTAGTTCTATCACGTTTATGGCCATGTTTACCACCGCATAATCGTTTTGCTTCAAATTCCATTGAACTAGCACTACAACAATCATCAGCACATGCAATCTGTTTACTTATGAAACATTGGCGTTTTAGACAAGCACTTGTTTTAAATATTAATTCTGAATCAAATTTAATTTCACAATTAGTATCAACATTATTATCTGAAGTGAATTTAATTAGTCAATCTTTAGTTCAATCAACTCAACGTAAATTAATTCGTTTAGGCTTACAACTTACAAGATCATTAATATTATTCGTTAAAGAAGGTTGTATTAGTTTAACATCGGTGGTAAGTTTATGCAAAATAACTGTGTATTGTTTCTTTAGCCAAAATGTTTTCGTTAAATATTATTGACTATATTTAATTAAATATATTATATTTCATCATTTAATAAACACAACTGATTCATGTAGTTTCATATATTCACTCTGAGTCACATTTGCAATGAGATTTTAATATATAGAAGGACTTAGACTGTTATTCCAAAACTTTGAATCTTGAAATATGCCTACATCATTGTTGGGGATATTAGATCCCCAAAACTCTCTGGTTAAATGCCTTATTTTGGATTCTACGTTTGCCAGCATGGGTTGATCAGTTGACCTTGAGATTTTATTTTCCACCAGGAAAATCCATGGCTGTGATTGGCTGCTGTGTATTTTAGTGTGCTATTTTCTTAACTGTCCCAAAAACATTTCTATGATGTATAAATAAACGAGAGTTGTATGCTTGATTGTACTATGATTGCTGAGTGTTTGTAGAATATACTTTCTACGTTTACAAAGCCTTTTTACTTCAGCTTGAGATTCAAGGTAGCCTACCTGGACGCTGGTAAAAGTCTCGTTCGCGTTTATCGACTAAGGTAAACTCGTAATAGCCTCAAGCATACTTAGTGACGAACATAAAAATCATGAACATACAATAGTTTACAATAGCATTTACCATCTACAATATTATTCTTCAAATTTTGTAATTTGAATACATTGAAGCATTATTACAAAAATATCACTAAATCTAAACTGAATTCTTATTCTTTTACTACAGTGTAAGATTGAGCGATAGTGAATTACAAATAAATGATTAAACTTAAGATTTTCTTAAATACTTTTACGTTTTTCAATCATTAAAATTGTGATAAGAGAGTTAGTATCCATCTAAAAGTTCACTACATCCCTTTACTTCTTTCTGTACATCAACTTCACACTTAAAACCATGAACATCGAATAGAATACATTGTTTAAATCTTTTAGGTTTTACTAATCTATTCTTGCGGTTATATAAATATTAGCTCGCCATTGTTGTTTGTTTATTTGTCACTTTGCACTCGTCTTAGCAACGTTTTTCAACTGAAAACAGACTGGTTTTCATCATGTCACTCTTCGAAAAACTATCTGATTCGCGTTAGAATTCCAACTGGCAAATGTTTCATTTAACTTACAATTCATCTGTATAACTAGGACCAGTAAAACTATAAAATCATATCAATATTACATTTAGTAAATAGATGTTTCTCAGTAATGCAGTAAATATACTTTCATCTGTCTGAGGTTTCTGTATTAGTTTATAATAGTTTCATCTAAGAAAATCTTTCTTTTTTATATTCATAATTAAAAATATAAGACACTTTTCTTTACCTCGAATTCACACTGTCATATCATCTTTTATAGCTTGAGACTTTACAGTCCATTCATTCGTCGTGTAAACGACCATTACGCTTTGTCGTGAAATCAATATTAGAGAAAATGATCAAGAAGTTTGGGTATGTTACTAACTAATCACTCTTCTTTTCATCCAGAAAAATTATATCGTTGAGATGTTTTTATCGTACTGATGTGCCAAGCAAAACAGTATATGATAATATGTAAAGATTCTGAGTACGGTTGGTTGATGTTCTTCTTTGGTATATGTTTAAGTGACAACCATTACCACAAAATCTGTCAATTAACTGAGTTAAACGCTACCTCAAGGTCGAAAAATACAACAACATTTGAGAGTCGGTAGGTATGGCTGTTTTCTAGAACCTGGTAGGGGAGAAATATTGATTCCAAACATCTACATCCATTCCTGTAAAAAATACGATTGAAATACCGATCCAATCGAGTCAAATTTCATTATATGGAGAAAAACATGGCATGATCAAAATATGCCAGCTATATTGATGGATCCGTGTCTCATACTGTGTCAATTTACTGCGTTACACAATATCTAAGATCTCATTCAAAAATCAAGATAACCTAACACATTTTCTTCGATACAAATTCGAAAACTAGCTATTTCTCCGTCCTTTTTCCACAAAGTATCCTAGTTAGCACTTATCACCCTAATTCGAATTCACTGGAGCCGTGTACAGATTTCTTGTTCTTAACTGCTAAATGGAGCTTTCCAGGATAACATCTCATTGTATGATAATCCACATTAATCTGTATTCCACACCAAGTTACTATACGGATTTACACTGTTACGGGTATGAGGGCTGATGTCACATCCCGGCTGCCCACACCGTGGAACGGTGCTTCTCGAGGAACCTGAAAAGAATATTAGATCAACGTCGTTCTTAACGACCTGGAAGCGTGACCGCAGAGTCCAAGGGACAGTTGCTTAAGGCCGGTCATACACGGCCTTTTTATAAGAAATTTTTGAAGTATTAGCTCCGCTCTTCAAATGGCCTTACCACCGCAAACGGAAATCTGTGAGGTAAGGTGAGGTGTGACATTTTTAGAGTCGACCTATACAAACCCCTTTCTTCCTTGTGAGAAGGCAGAATCGCTGCAGATGCTGGTTGTTCGAGGGAAACACCTTACTGCTGTCATACCCCTCTACAGTCAACAGTACGACCCCGCTTTTAGTCTTACCGTTCTTCAATCGACCTGCCTGGTATAGTAGAACCTGCAAGAACATATGTTGCAGCCAATATAGCTCGATTGGGTCATCACGATAAGCAAGCCCGCTCACCATGTCAAGGTAGCAACTACGGTCGGAAATGTAAATACTAGCTAGACTGTAACAATGTGAAAACGGTGGTTCTGTAATCACATTCATTGTATATATTTTTATAGGTAGTTTTTGTTCAACTTGATACATTTTCAGAACGAGCCATTTTCAGCTTCTGAACAGTGAAAATTTATGATCCACCTAAAATGTAACTGTTAAAGTAAGTAGTAAGTCTACTAGGTTTTATTTACATGTAAGACCGGGTACTTTTCGATATATACTTCATACCTGTCATCTGTCCGCTATGATACAATATTTAAGATGTATGTGTAATCCATTAACAAAATAGTGAATATAAGCTAAATTATCTTACTATGTACTACATCAAAAAAAATCAGAATTGCGCTTTTTATTTCCAATGTTATTAGTGCTTTTAAATAATTGTAAACTTGCATCAACAACATACTCTCACATTGAATCGTTTGTTCTTCTCTATGTCCTCCTCATTTCTGTCTGTTTACTTTTTCTCTCCAAATTCCGTAATAGACGTCAAGCTATTCAAGGTTTACTAAATGTTGAACACCAAAAAATGGTACGCAATTCAGTTAAACTTATGGCTCGTCGTGAACGTAAAACTAAAATGCTTGAACAGTCAACATCGAAGACAACATCATCATCATCATTGCTTAGTGGATCATCTATTCGCCATCAGATGTCCGATAGTGATTCTGATCATAATTCGAAACGATCAATATCCAATGATATTAAGAGTATTCGTTCGTCAATTCACAGTAAAGCATCATCATATCTGCCAAAACGTGTACATATAACTCGGTATGCTTTGTTATTTCTTTAAAATTTTTTATGCTCACTTTTTTGAGCAAACTAATAACTCAGGTTAACTCGACGCTTTTGTCACTTAAAGTTGATATTCGCGCACCACACCGTAATGGTTTACGCGTAATTCCATCACTTTGTAATCTTGTAAGTAGCAGCATGACCTTAAATATCTAAAAATATGTATTTCATCACCATATAACAATACAAGGTTTAAAAAACAAATCACCTATGATCACTATTCGTTGATTCAGTTTCTTGTTCATCCTTACTAAATAGAAATATCCTTCCATAGTCGTAAGAATGAATTGTATTTATTACAGATAATAAATCTTCGATATCACTAAAGGACCATTTTTAAAAGCATTAAACGTAAGTATCATGTCTAAGTTTAAGAAATTCAAACTCCTGAATAAAACGGTTGATATACTAATGTAGAGTCCTCGGAAAATACCATACAATCCAGTCTTTTCTTATTAAGTGGTAACAAGTAATCGACAGGAATCCCCTTATCTAGATTTCATTCTAACTAACACTTGTCTACAAGATACATATATGTGGTATTTGGAGAGTTAATACTTTATGTGCTGGACTCGAATCCGTGTCACCCAATTGTCAGTGAAATATGTTAGTGGTGACTTTATAGCGCAAGTTTGAAAATGAAATGCAAAATTTGAAAACGAAAAATTTTCTTAGTTATTTCAAATTTAAAAAAAGACTCCAATACAAAGGAATACACAAGTATCATTATAAAAAGTGCTTGTTAGAACTTTCGAGTTATTGACTAGCGTTCACACGGAAAGTTTTACTTTAAACGAATAAGTGAATCTTGTATTTAGTGCTTTTGAATCTTGTTAGGGAAAAATTAGGAGTTATCATCTGTTTTTATCCTAAGTTTAGTATAATCATGACACAGTTTTCGTACAACAAGTGAATACTAAAACAAGTGCTTTAAGATTAATGAATAATCCCATTTTCAAATAATAAAGATAAAAGTATACAGGTGATATTGTTCTCGAGTGCTATGTTTTCCACAACTCTAACTTCAATATAATGAATGAGACTATCCTTTTCTCTCTTGCCTTCACTATCTAAATCAAGAAGTCCAATTGTTGTATAAATGATTTGTTAATCAATTCTCCCCGAGTAGAATTCAAAATTACATTTAAGATAATCAATTATAATGTGTATATAATTATCGATAAACATAAATCATAGTGAGAAAAAAAAATGCATTTAAAGTTCATAAAGTAATGCAACACAAAAATCTATTGAAAATTGACCATGCTTTCATCTTAAATTGCATATATCTCGATTTCGTTTCTTGCAAAATTGTATTTTGAGATTCTATAATCTTTTTAGGGATTATAGAATTTTTTGTTATATTATTTCTTCAGTTTATGCATTCATTCATAATGATTATTTCTTTGTATTCAAGGATGGATGAACTTTTAGCTGCCTCTTCCAGTGATGATGATGATAATAATAATCATAATAATAAATTTCTTAAAAATAAATCTCAACATGATCGTTCTTCAGTACATTCACATACTAAATCCAAATCATCACGTGACAGCTTATCATCTAAACATGCTAAATCATTAGTAGAAGAATTGGAAAATGTTAAACTTACTGCTGGTTTATGTAGACGTTCACGTAGAAATTTAACTGAAAATGAATCTTACACTAATGATATGGATATTGATGTGTATAGTGAAGATGATGAAGAAATTAATAAAGCTTTGTGTAAAAATCCATGTAACTCTAAACATCAAGTTCGTTTCACCGATGATACAATTAGTCATGCATCAATAACTAGTCGGAATCATTTATCAAAACGTACTTCGTCATCATCACGTGATCCACCTTTAAATGATACTGATTTATGGATTGTAGAAAATCCGGATAGTTCAGAAATTTTAGATTTATCTGATCCTAAATCACTTGCACGTCATACAGCTTTTGCACCAGATGATGTGACAGCAAAAGCTATGGTTAAAATTTTCCAAAATTCATTAACAACTGAACAAACAAACGTATCTAATTCACAATTCAATGATAAATCTAATAATCAACCATTTCCTATTGTTAACGGGAAAATTATTATTGATGATGGTAAAACTAATGAAAATAATTTGACAATGACTAGGCCAGATCATTTAGGTAAGTATTCTATGAATGTATTGTATTCATTTGTTGATAGAATAATTTTTTTTAGCAGAACAATACGAAGACTGAGTTGATTTGAAAAGTGCGATATATTTGCACCAAACATTTCGAACAATGTGGTCACTCATACTTGTCCAGGAATTTATATCTCAAGATTAATTAAATTTAGGTTCATATCAACACAAAGTGATAATTGTAAATAAAGGAGAGAGAAAATGAATATGACATAGAAAAAGTAGGTAACTGACGCACTACCGTAGGCTATAAAATGACTTGAAGATTGCCAGGGCAAGCTTAACGTTCCGATCATCGGTTTCTGTGTACATAAACAGGTTTTAAATTGGCAAATAGCCAAGGTTAGTATAAACTTAAGAATTTTTCCTTACCAGCATCTATACAACGTGTTAAAAACTGTGTTGATGCCGATTCGTTGCTGCGTTTCGATTACTGGCTTTGTTGTCGATGAATATGGTTTCCTAATTCTCACGTTTATCGGAAGGCTCGACTGACTTTTGCAAACTTGCGTCATTTGTGGGAGATAGCTGTCGGCTAATTAAAGGATGGGTTTACTGTGCAGCAGTTCACTCCGTCATACTTTACGGATGCGAAACATGGCCAGTAAGAATAGAGGCTGTTCGTGGGTTACTAGTATTCAGTCATTGGTGTCTTCGGAACCAGTGAGTTAGCAATTCTGAAACCGGACGCAGGGTACTAGGTAAAGATAATAAATTGACTAACGAGGTTGTGAATCTTTATAGACTGAGATGGTTATGGCATGTATTACGTATGCCACTGACTGTTTTAGCGCACGATGTCTGGTGTAAGAGTAGATTAAAAGAAAGCTAGGGGCATCAAGCCAACACATGGCACTAATCCATGCTAGTAGATGTAGACTACCAGGTTGGGGTCCACGAGACAATCGTAACCGTTGGTTAGAGACCTTGGTTTACATGGCTCAAAATGGTTTTCAATGGCACAGATTTATCTATTGTTTTTCTTCTCTCAAATTCTCATCCCGTGAATTCCTCATGACCTTTTTTCTCTCACTGGATTATACTTCTAAAGTCATATCTTCAATTAACGCTAATACTGCTACAACCTCTACTACTATGGGATTCGAAGTGAAAATTCTATCTCTCCGTGCTAATGTAGTATGGCAACTCGAACTGATGTTTGTTTGTACCAAGTTCTACGTTGTAGCTGATTGATTGATATTGCTTATGCCTGACAACAATTGAGGTGGTCCAACAGTAGAAGTCATATAAATTAGGAAAGTGTTAAAGTCGCTATTATCTACATATCGAATATCTTTCCAAATATAAAAAAATTGGCTGAGACTGTTATTTTTAAAGAGATACCAAGTCGTTTGTATTACTTATCTGTTTATGTGACGATCACTTGTAATTCAAGATCACCCTCGCTCTAAAAAATGTGTATTATTTATTTCTCTTGAATTAGCAGATTGGGATCTCACAGGCGATGATAATGATGATGATGGTAACTTACAGTCGAAAACTTCTTGTGTAAATAAAAACGTTGTAAAACAAAGATCTTGGAAATCTATGCCAATTCCTGGTCGTGTTTATGCATCAAACAAAGCCAAAGGTGACATGAAACGACCTGGTATGCCAGAACCTTTTGCATTTGTGCCACTTGGAGCTGGCATCAGTAGATCAAGCAATTCAGTTAGTCAGAAAATAACACCACTTGAACGTCGGCGTCTTTTGAGAGAAGTTGGCATGGGAAAACAGAAACGAAAACGAATTCAAGGTGGTAAACAGACAAAATCGTTAAAGAAATCTCCGTTAAAAGGTGTTCATAAAATTTCTAAATCTTCAAAATTGTCAAAAGCTAAATTCTTAAGAGATATGTAAAAATTTAAACCATAACAAGAAAAAGCCTTGTGATCAATTTATTTTCTGATCATAATGTTATTATTCTAATAAATGAATTTCCTTGATTATTTAAAACTAATTTGGTTATGATTTTCCGTTTATTTTAATGGTCGGTAAGTTTGATCCCAGTTTTCACAGTGTTTTATTGAGTCTGTACAATTAATCGAAAATACACTGGGATGTCAGTTTTTGGAAGAAGTCGTATGAATAACAGTATTACCATGAAAAGCTCCTATCTAATGAAATATTAGGGACTGCAAAATAATACGTGTCCAACGATTAAGGAATAATTGAAACAACCGTAGCTCACACGTCTTTTATCTTTTTCATCTGCGTAGATATATATATATATATATATATATATATATATATATATATATATATATATATATATATATATATATATATTGTCGGTAAGAACATATTCAGCTTATTGTTTACATCAGTTAACATCTACCTCAATATAGGACCTTGTTACCAATACTCTAAATATGTAATGTACATTGAATTATGAATCCACAATTCTTATAAAATAGTTTTACTTACCCTAGTCAACATTTCTCACCGTACGCATTGTTTTCTTCAGTTATTCATTATAACACTAAGTGTAGTCATTTAAAAAACATTCACTGTTCTTAAATCCTCATGTTGGAAACAAGATTATGTTAAATTCATCCGAATCCATAATGGTGAACGGACGAATACAAGAAAAATTTATATGTACAATGCTGTGGCATATTAAAGCGTTCTCAGTTACCTCAGTGTTTCGATTTTTTTTTAATGGCTGTGATACTTTCCAGATCTGAGCACTTAATGTGTAATCAGCTAGTAGCAAAATGATATTAAGTGTTGCATCACAGAATAAGAATGCATATGTCTATTCCTTTTAGAATCTGAAGTAAGCGTTCAGTATAACTTAAGATAGTAGGTGTCCAGAAACGCTAGTGAAAAAATGGATATGGTGAACTTATATGCACTAGCTTTAATGGTAATGATATCGCCAAGACAAACTCTACTGTTAACAAGTTATCAACTTGTGTCGAGCAATCTAAACAAGAACCAGTAGTTATACCATCTTCTAAAGTAACTTCACTAAAAGACCAATAAGGTCGACCTCAGATCCTGTAGTCTGGTGCGAAGAGTTTGTGTCTTAACTGATTTATCAATCGTGAGACGCGATCGTCTGACCGAAACTTATTAAAATCAACATATTTTCTTAGCTTCAATAAGAATTAGATATTCGATATCAATTTTTCAACTCAGGTCATTGCCGAGTATTCGCCAACCAAATATTATTTAGCTGGTCATCTCAAAATCCTACTCACTGTTCTAGTCGTTTGATAATTTGAAACTTGGTAAATTACTACCCACACTAAATCTGAACTACTGCTTGTTAGGATATTCACTAAATATCCTAAGAATACTATTTTTGGAAGTATGATCCTATTGGTCGAAATTATGGTCGTTTTAACTGTCAAAGTCAAATACTTCAATGTTGTCTCTGATTGGTCTTCCGGACTGTCAATGTCATCTCAAATGTTCTTTCCTATTGGCCGTCCTAAACTGTCAATGTCACAGACTTTGATGCTCTTTCCTATTCGACCTTAATGTATAAATACGCACTATCTGGAACCCTTCATGATTCGGATTCCAATTCCGTTTCTCCTGCCTACCTCTCTTTTGTACTCGACCCAATAAACAACTCCATCCCACGGTGTTGCGTTCTGATATATAGGAGATTCGGAAATAGCATTTTGAGTCGTATTGGGATATTTGAATTGGACGCCGCTAGGAACTGAATAGCTATACGTAGCAGCGTTACAACACTGCCATAAATTGCCTCTGTCTATTCCATATCAACTAATAATTAAGTTTCTTCATGTTTCGTGCTCACCAAAGTGAATTTTCATATGTCCATTAGTACCACAGAGGCTGTAGAAATCTACCAGTGTCTCTTACTGTTTTACTAAATCCTGTGACTAGAAGATAACTTCACACTTTAAACAGTGAATAGAGGATAGAATATGCTGTCTAAACTTTGACGTTTTAGTAATCCATCCTTTTGGTTGCAAAAATCTTATTCGTATTGTTGCTGGTTATTGATGAGATACCAGTCATTTCTTAACTTTTTACTGAATCTTGTCGATAAGTGTTACTATTATTTTTGTGACAGACTGTAGCTTATACCGAGCCTTCTTATGATAAAAACCCTTTTTAATGTTTTGTATAGTTTCTTTTGTTGAATGTGCTCTTGTAAACACTCACGCACTCACACCAAAAAACGTTGCTATGAATAAACGTATCGGAAAGACATCTTTACTTCTGTCGCTCTTTACTGGTGGTTAGTGTTTTCCGTAAAAACCACTGAAATGTTCACTGTCTCCGCGTCAATACCCCTTGGAAGAAAGTGGAGTCAAACCATAGTTGCAACAGACGATCAAATCTATCAGTTAATAGGGCTAGAGTGTCAAATCAGTGCCTTTATCCTTGATTACGCCTGCATACTGAGTCCCCGTCGAAATCTACTTATACGAATCACAAGACTACGTTTTATAAATGTCTATCTAATAGTTTATCTAAAACAATATTACATCTAATCACATGGGATTTGGTTTAAGCTACGGTCAATCACAATCTATCGTTTACTTTAAGGTGTAGACGAAGATAATGAACAAACAACAACGTTTTTGCTAATCTTCTACTTCGAATTTTCATTTATTCGGCGTATAGATTCGTAACAGTGACAACCTAAAATTAAGAATGAGCAACTACATTTGGATTTTTGATGCTGATTTTGACATTTTTAGAAATATTTATCGATATGATAGTGTTGGCTGTGTATTTTTTAAAGCTTACGATTGATACTGAGTTCATGTAACAAGAAACAGTGTGCCAACTGTAGAACCAATCTTTTTAACACCTTCCTCGAATTAGGAAAGGACAGCGTGATTGAAGACGGTGGTCGTTCGTTAGAAACGAACTAGGTCATAAAGACTTCTGCAGCATACCTATAAGCTGGTGGATTTATGTTTTACGGATCTTCAATCAATCTGTTTCATCGTAATAATCTATGCAGCATGCATGTATCCTACAGAAATATAAAGGTTGAACACTACTTCGTACCAACTGTTCTTACACTAATCAAACCACAGATACATTTCGAATATACACGGGAAGTATGCTACCAAGATTCCTCACACTAGTGCTCTACATTGTTTAACGGTTCCTGGTTTTAGATAAGACACTTCCATCACCTACATTTCCAGTCGAACTCTTACCGGGAGATTCGTTTGTCGACTTAGAATATGCCGATGACATTGTACTACTTGGTCAAGGCGCTGACAAAATACAGTCTTCTGACCACCCTAAACAACAGTTCTAACCCTACTGTAGCTGCTCCCTTGATGTGGCGGTCGGGATTACCTATCGTGATGAACCAACCGAGTTATATTGGCTGTAACATATGTTTCTGTGGGTCCTGCCATGCCAGGCAGGTCGGTTGGAGGACGGTAAGACTGAAAGCAGCAACCCTAAGTCTGAGAGCGAAGTCATACTGTTGATTGTAGAGGGGTATGACAACAGTAAGGTGTTTCCCTCAGACAACCAGCATCTGCATCACACAAGGAAAAAAGGAGTTAGAAAAGGTTGACCATAAAGATGTCACATCTCACCTTACCTTAAGAATTTCTGTCTCCGGCGGAGCTAACACTTCAAAATCTTCGAATCAAAAAACCGTGCATGGCCGGCCTCAAGTAGTTGTCCCTTAGACTCCGTGGTCACGCTCCTACGTCGTTAAGAACGACGTTAATGTAATATTCTTTTCAGATTCCTCAAGAAGCACCCTTCCACGGTGTGGGCTGCCAGAAGTGACAACCGTCCTCAAAACCGTAACAGCACACAAGACCGAATCGCTCACAATCAAATAATTTATACACCTCCTAACATCTCTCTTATCTCCACAACTAACACTTCTCATGTTCGTTTATCCTAATGCAAACCATAGGAGTTCAAAGAACGTTACTCGTGGTCTTCTGAAACCCCATTCTAAACTAATTGTATGAACTTTTGATGTCCGGACATTGCGCTAATCAGGACAACAAGCTTCTTTAGCTAGGATTCTGGAACCGCTATCGATGTATGCCGCGTCTCGGAAACGCGCATACCGGATCGTAGTACAGTGATTACGTTGAATTCACGTTCTCCAAATAAAGAACTAACTCGGTGCACGCTGTGTATATGGAAACCACACTGCTGCTTCCCGTAGCCTCGCCGGTGTATGTATAGCATTGAGTCCTAGGGCAGAACTAGCTCTCTTAGATTGGATCCCAGTAGATAGTCACGTGCGCTGTACGACTAAACGAGACAGTAATAACTAGGAAAGACAGGGACACTCGCCATTGCCTCTTCGTCGTATCTGCCTACGCTCCCACTGACTGCAGCTTGGACAAGATATGAGTTTTGTAGAAACCTTTCTAACCTTCAAAAAGTTGAGCACTCTGATATAGCAATAATGGCTGGCGACTTAAACACTCAAGTAGGTAGACTAAGTGAAAAGGAAAGACAGCTGGGTGGATATCATGGTCTCGCAGCTGATAGAATCGATAATGGCGATCGTCCGCTGCAACTATACTCAGATAAGCGCCTATTCTCAGCAGATACTAAATTTAAGCACAAAAGATACCATCTTTCAACCTGGCAACCCCCAAAGTAGTCCCGACGCTGGACCCAAATAAATCGCATAGCTATCATTCACCGGTGGAGAGACTCTATTGAAGACTGCCGCTCATTCTGGAGCACTTGTTTAGACTCAGACCATGCTCCAGTGCGAGCGCGCATTTGCCTGAGTCTTAACGGACGTAGGAAAGACACCGCAAGGAAACCCCAGGGTTATACTTAATGATAGCGTAGCTAAGAATTTATTACAGTAGCTAGAAAAACGGCTAGGCGCCCATATAAGTGGTTCCCACCTTGAGGGAGCTTCAAACAAAGTCTAAAAAGCTGTGGAAACAGCAGTGACATCTGCTAGTAAGGTAAACCGTAGGTTAGAGACAAACAGTGGATTTCAGTAGCATCTACCGAACTGACGAAATCTCGGTACAGATACAGAAGGCTCGGTCGGCTTTCGCCAACTTGCGTCATTTATGGCGTAGTCGAGATATCCGTCTGCCAACGAAGTGACGAGTTTACTCTGCATAAATTTGCTCCGTCCTATTATATGGATGCAAAGCATGGTCAGTAAGAGTAGAGGATATTCGTAGGCTATTAGTTTTCGATCGTAAGTGTCTTCGAATCATTGCTTCTATATCCTCGGACAATGGAGTAAGCAGTGCTGTAGTTAGGAAACGATTACTAAGTAACAACGGCAAATCGGTTGATGAAGTGATGAGTCTCCATCAGTTGAGATGGTTTGCATAGGTGTCAGTAGAGGCGGCCAAACCAAAATATGGCACAAATCCATGAAGTCGCTGACAAGTGTACTGAGCCATGTTGGTAGGTATAGACTACCTGGTTGGGGTCAGCGAGATGATAGTAACCGATTGTTAGAGACCTTGAACGACATGGCTCAAAATCGTTTGCATTGGCACAAATACAACTATTCTTTGTGTTCTCTCAAATTATAATTTAAACTCCTCATGACCTTAATCTTACCCGTCTCAAATCTATTTCCGTGGATTATATATATATATATATATATATATATATCTTCGAACCATGATCTTTCCGATTACTGCTAATACTTTTACTACCTGTACCACTGTGGGATTTGAACAGACTATTTCTTCTCTGTGATACCGTGTTATGACAACTTGAACTGATGTACGTACGTACGAAGCTCTACGTTGTAGCTGACTGACTGACCTGAGCCACTGCAAACGATTGAGTCGTATCGTTCAAGGTCTCTAACAATCGGTTACTATCATATTGCGGACACCAACCAGGTAAACCATACCTACCAACATGGCTCAGTCCACTTGTCAGTGACTCTATGAATTTGTGCCATATTTCGGTCTGACCGCTCCTCATCGTTTACCTTGTGGGAGCGTAGGCAGATACGTCGGAAAGGCAATGGCGATTTTCCCTGCCTTTCCGAGTCCTTACTGTCGCGTTTAATGAACTAATGAACTATTTCATCTGTTTAGCAACCGTAACCAACTAATATTATGGAGTGATTGATAATACAAATTAATGAGGGTTCAGTGATTGAGGTAACTAGAGTTGCCCAAAACCTGAGCACTTAGTGCCTATTGCGATGGACATAAGAGCAGTCATCAAAAAATGGTTGTAGATTAACAAACTGAAAACACCAATACTCCATGAAGTTACCGACTGTCGGTCTGAGACTCAACATTATTTATATCAGTTGCACTCATTTTCGACTTTCGAATAAATCTTGAAACTCAACATCGTTTAAAACTTTGTTTATTATATCACTTGTACTTTTAGAAATAAATTTCCAATTTTTGGTTTTACCATCATTGATATTAAGATTATTTCTAGAATCGTGTTGCTCTCTTTTAGCCTTGCTGAACTCATTAATGGAAACTTGGACCGATGAACGCTCATTTAACACTGTTTACCAACTGATAGTTCATTGAAGTTTATCATCTATTCAGTGTACTAACTCTAACTTCTAAATTGACGAAAAACAATATTATAATATATGTCTGGTGTTTCGAATATAAATGTGATTCATCTCTGAATAATGTCATTGACTCGTTATTATGTTTATTACTAAATCTATATAAACACTCAAGTTTAATTGTTTAGGATCATCCGAAATTAATTAAAAGAAAGTCTCAAGAGACTTCTATAGGAAAAGTAAGTAACTGAAAACTACTTAAGGTTAGAAATATACAGTACATTCCTACTGTGCATACAATAAAACAAAAACGATTAGTTCAATTTATGTACAATTTAATTGTCAAACCGCCTGCTAAAAATGTGACCAATATGAAAAATAGCATTTATATGAAATTACAACCGTATTTGTTCAACTTAAATGAATTCTTTATGTGACCAAAGGAATTTTTCATAATATATATAAATTCAAATTATATACAAGAAATCAATGGAAGAAAAGTTTTTGGGAGTGACTTGTGTTGGCAGTTATTATTACTCAATAATTTATTTTCTGCTTAACTTGGTGGAGGAGCAGCCTGTTTATCTTCCAACTTTCGTTTGATTAACGCCTTAAACTGAGCTTGTAATTTTGCTTCACGTTTAGCACGCTCAGCATGGTTAAAATGTTCTAAAGCTCGTTTCTCATCAGCTGAATATATCTGGTTTTCTTTACGTAAACGAACAGCTTCCATTCGACGATGACGACTACCTGACATGACATAACCCTCTTTCTCAAATGACTCAATCTCTTCTGAAGTTAGACCGATTTCACCACGCCGTGGTATACGTTTGCCTTCAGCAATATAAGCTGCCATTGCTGCACCTTCTCCTGGTAGCAATGCTCGGCCATAATCTAATGGAATCAGGCTGGAATGTTCAGCAGTAGGTAATATTGGACCGACAGCCACTTCCTCCTCTTCTTCTTGTGCACGTTTACGTTCTAATTCACGTTTTTTATCCTTCATTTGTTTAATAAATTGTTTCTTTTCATCTTCACTATCTGCTTCAGACGCAGATTCTGAGGAAGGTGATGAAGAAGAGCTAGACGAAGAAGAGGATTTGCGACTAACATGTTTATTTTTCCGCTTTTGCTTTTCAAGTTTATTGCTCTTTTTCGTTTCCTTTTTATTCTTTTTAGATATTTTATGTGACCGATGATGGTGACTGTGGTTCTTATGCTTCATCTTTTTATGTGAATAAGAATCTACACGATTGTCTGATGTCTTTAAATCTGTTGGGAGACTAGGTCCGAAAGCTTGTCCAGAAATAGAGTTCCGGTCTTCATCTGAATCTGAATCTTCTTTAGGTGGATTCGACTCCCATATTTGTGTGTTCGCAGAAGCACCAGCGCGCTCACGCATTTTACGACGCCGTTCCCAAAATTCTGGCGTTTGATGATGACCAAATTCATTGCTTTTACGATTACGACCTTCATTTTTATGACTTATTGATAATGATGGAGACTTTGGTTGAGAATAACTTTCAGTATGATCATGTCTGTCTTTGTAGGAATGCCGACTAATCTCAGAAATATCTTTGAAATCAGAATTATTTTTAATTACATTTTTCTCATAAGCTCTCCGAGTGGGACTTGAATTTTTTGACTCCATGAAAGGAGATCTGTCGTACCTTTCGTGATTGATTGTTACCATTTCTTAAAGCAGTGAAGAATGAAATAAAACATTCACACACTTTAATGAACAGAATATTTCACATTTATCCTAACTAAATCCTCTATTGCTAGAAAGAGATCAATAGTATCTAAAAATGCTACTATAGAAATACCACAACTTCAATGAGTTGGACTAAATTTTTCTTATGACGTCTGGACATACCGCCACTGGACTGTCGATGGGTCAACCAAATTCTAACACAGATGGTCAAAAACTCCAGTAATTTGACTCTGGAAAAACAGTGTGTCCAGACTGCAGTTCTTGATTAACCTGGTGGTACTTTATAACCACATTTCATGATTGGGTTTTTATTTTAGTCAAGGAAATAATTCTTTGGGTTCTGATCCTCTGTATTTCCTAAATATGTACTGACTTAACCTATGTCTGCCTGGATGGATACACATCCGATCCAGGTTCAAGTGATGACTGATTGATAGCACATGTTTAAATTAATACCATATAGTCAAAACAAGACGTACCAATAACAGTGCTTGAGTAGGCTACACAGATTTGAAAGTAAAAACATATCTTTGTACTGCTAGGACTATTTCAGATTACAGAACTAGAAGATTTAAAGCAACAGTTACTAATGTTTTGTAATTTTGCAAGACCAATTTAGCCTACTGGACGCAGATAAATTATTGACCTTGAATTATCGACACATCCATATATCATAAATGAATGTTATTAGCATCTTACAAACACAAAAGGATTACAAGTATAATTCACAAATGCATGCAGTTTTAATAGAGATCCAAGCCATGTAAAACTTATGCATTGGTTAATGCTCTAGTACTTATCCTAACGCACAAACGAATGCACATAAGGTCTTACGACACACTGATTTTGAAGTCTAACCCCTATGTTTCCAGTCTCTAAAGAACTGTATGAATTTGTAAACAGATTTGAGGGTAGATCAAAAATTCCCGAAAGTTGGGAGATTGGGTGAGTATGGCAGAGCTATTGAAATTTTTGAGTTCTTTATGTGTTAAAGTGAGTTAAGATTTTCGGAAATAATAAGAATATGACGAAAAAGGCTACTCGGTCTGAATGATTCGTCAGTAGCTTCAGTGATGTGAGTATTATTCAGAGCTTACAGCACTTAAGTGACCTGTTTAGAGATTACCTAAGCTAGACCAATACGAAAGTTTGAACCAGCTTGATATTAGAATATTGAATTAATTCCTAACTCTACAAATCTTACCGAAGTCCTTCAGTCGAACACAACTCAAGAAGTAACGTTACGAACCAAACACTGCGCGGTCCGAAACGTATCAGTACAATACCCAACATTTTCAAGAGTTAGTATAAACCAGTTGAATTCTTTGCTCTAGATTCTTGCTTTTTCGGTACGGTTCCAGTTGTATGATGGTCCCAAGTGCTGGGGCATTTCTTCTTTAGTATTATTTTTCAACCCTATCACCCATTTCGTTACTCGTCTCTCCACTCGATCCATTAGATATATGTCTTTTCTAAGGAGACGGGTGTGACGACGTTGTGAACCCCAAAGTGTGTGAGTGCATATGTCTTAAACAGCACTAGTAATTCTGATGTGATAGCGCCAACATGTCTTCGCATATAATAAGGAGTTGCAATAAACTTGGCTGAGTCCCCTATATAGTTCGAGCTATTGTGTAGGCTTCCAGTGGTTATTGAACCGAGATCGAGCCATGAAGAGACATTGGGAAGCGGACCTCAGACAAGGGTGTAAATCTTTTGTGCCCAATGGAGCAGAATGTTCATAACGCGACATTTCGGCTGGTTTATTTTTAAACCGTTTGTGACTGCCCATCCCTGAAACGATGTAAGGTCTTTCCGGAGCTCGTTTGAACCCCCTTCGCTTCCAACAGACCTCCGGATCTTTACACCATCTGCGTAGACCAGTGCTGGTGTGTCCGACAGGTCGTTAATAAATATCAGGAAGAGAAGTTGACCCACTAAGGTCCTATGTGAGACTCCCGATGTTGAAACGCGCTAACTCGTGTGCATTCTGTTTAGTTTGGTATGAAACTTTCTGTTCTTAAGGCAGTTTCTGAGCTAAGATAGTAGAAGTTCAGCGAACCTCATTCGCGCAACCCCTTAGAATAGGAGTGCGTCGGGTATTGCGTCGAAGGCTTTTGCAAAGTTGAGAAACATCACGAGCACCTGAATTTTTCGGACCGAGCAGAATGTTCAACGCTCCCATGCAAGCTTCACCTGAAAGCTTCTCCTATCACTTTGGCATTGCATCTCTCTCCCAATGCCATGTCCGAATACTTCAAAGAGACCTACTTGTGCCAGGCTCTCCTCTTCGCCTGTCGCAAGCATTCACTGTCCCGATTAACCCAAGTTCTCTTTCTCTGTGTGTGTTGTGCCCGAAGTACACTGAGTTGGACAGTATTCTGGATGGTATCGTACACTGTTTGGCTGTGATCATCTACCGTTAGCTTCCACCACCCCTTGACCGTGGGGCATGTAGAACGTTCTCCACCATCCGCACGTAATTCGCACAAGCAAATGCAGAACTCGTTTTGTCCTGCCTAAGTGTTTCTTTTATGACCATGTGAAGCGAAACTGTGCCAGCGTTTTCAGAGTGGTTCCTGAATTCTGAAAAACAGTTCTAGAACTTTAGCTACTCGCCTTGCCCGGTTATTCCAGGAGGAAGCGATTTATCTGTGTAAGAAACGGTCCTATTATTAATAAAAATTTACAAATAATTACCTAAATAATTTTGCACTGTTCTTCGCCAAAATTAACACAATTTATTTCCAATTCTGGAAGAATGCTTCCGTATAGGTCCAAAATTGCACCTTCCCAGTCCAGATTCACGTTTTACCCGCCAGAGTATCAATTCCGATTTGGCTGTAGCCATAATTAAGTATAAAATTAAACAACATAATACAGTTCAGTGGAAAACATAGAAACTCCAATAGAGGTACAAAAAATAAACACTAAAACAAAATACAAATATTAACATCACAAAATGGGATTAAAAAGAGTACTAAAATATAGAACAGAAACAGTCAGTAAGAACATATTACAAATAAATACATGAAGGGATTTTCGCAAAACAAAGCCTGCAAAACGGAGTCTACACCCGGGGTTTCTAATGGCTGAGCCAAGTCGTCCCTGGAACCAACTAGTGTGCGCTTAAACGTGATTGCTGACATTTGCAGATGCGGTATTGAAATCTTTAGCTAAGAGCATTTCATCAAACCCCAGGAGTGGCAGTTACTGTATTGCCTCGGTCAAATTACCTTTCTGGGACTTCGTACCTGAGGGAGGCCGGTAAATCCCTCTAATATAGTATTTCGTACCATGTATTTGAAGACAACAGCAACATGATTATGTCGCTTCAGTCAGTTAGGTGACGTATATCTGCTCGGCTTTTAAATGGCTGTTTAAATATACATAGCCACTCCGCCTCCTGTTTGGTGTGCCCTATCACTTCGGAAGAGTTTCATGCCTTACAAGCTGACTTCGTCGTCCTCAACGTCAGGGGATAGCCATGTTTCAGTTAAAATTATGATCTCCAGATCCAGATAAGAGCACATATTCCTGATCTCTAGCAGTTTAGCCCTTAGTCCACAGATATCAGATGCGGTGACTTAATGGGAATGAAGTGTGATGGGCTAGGCAGCCGAGAAATGCAAAGGCCCATCGTGATAGGAAGGCCTAGGCTACATAATAGCCATCGCCACCGTTGCAACTCGTGCACGTGAGCTTTATCCAAGTTACCACCATCCAGTTCGTGTACGCTGTGAGCTACCATAATGGTCTGCTCACGACTACCTGGTGATATCTTGGCTGCTGTTCGTACCGACCACGGTTTATCGTGCCTGATGCGAATCAGGGAGGAAGATTTTGCATTTAGTCTCTGGGATGAGAAGCGGATGTCTTCGGCAAGTTCTGCCGAGCCTACCGTTACCCTTATTAGAGGTGGTATCCCTTTCGAGACGTTCTGGCCTTTGAAAAGGCGGCATATTTTTGCCAGGATATTGCACATTCCGAGGACAACGCAGTATTTATCCCATCGCTCTTTATCAAAGGCGGTCCTACCTTCTAGTTAGCTACCTTCCGACACTCGAACATCAAATAAAATGACTGAATTTAGTCTACTGTCCCTGAGTGATAGCCGTTAGTGAGTTGGGGTGTTGATATCACAATTATCAGTTGTAGTTATCAGAAGTAAAAATAATTATTTGATCTAAAGACCGAACCTTACAGAATTTTCCTATATGAACATCAGTGTTTCTGATAAGGCGATTTTTTATCCTAGTTACTCCCTCAGGCGACTGACCGGGGATTCTGCGAAATGCAATCATGCAATAAAATTCCAATGGTTCACACGGTTGTGAGCTGAATGGAAATAACTTCCGCCTAATGGACCGCTATACCTAGTAACGGTTGATCACTGATGCGTCAAGGTAAGACTCATGGCAAATTTACCGGGAGGGAGTTAGATTTCAGCAACTTATCATCAAACTCTGTCCTTAATCCTTGTAAAATTCTGTATTTTAGCCCATCATAGAGCGTTAAGGTTTATTTACGATCCAACTAAGTCACTCCATCGATCGACATTGAACAGCAAGTAAATAAAGGCATCACATATCTATAATCTGAAGAGCTAGTCCATAAGTGTTGCGTTGTTTAAAACATTGCTTCTTATATTGTATAACTTGTACCTGATCCATGATACATGTACATGATAACTTGTACACGAATTATAATGGTGAAGTTTTAATCAGTGAGCTGGAAGTTTTGGTTATAAATCTTCCACTGTTCTTCTGAAAAACAACAGCAAACAAAATTCAGGCAGAAGTGAAGTATTCTCTACGTATGCCTTCTGGATTGTTCTGATGACCTCAATGATGACTCGTTTTTGTTGACCCTCAACCAATCGTATTCTTCTTCCTTAGTCTGAACTTATCATCCTTTGATTTGGAATGTGTGTAGCTGATAAAATAATAGAACCATTTTAACCAACTACATCACAATCCCGAAAAATGGTAACGATTACATTACCTCTCGAACCAAATATGTTGATGCACATGGAAATAGTATTCAAGGTCTCTCGATGAAAGCCAGGAAAAAGGTAACTTTCACACTCGTAAAAGGTCGAAACTCTAATGTTAAAAAATATCACTATTCACTGAATATGTTGACAGCTTACAATAACGATGGGAAAGTAATCCTATTTCGAATTAATTTGATCATTTTGGAAACCGTCATACTAGCTCAGATATGGCCTTTTCTGTGGAAGGGATATCTTGTTAAAAACTAAATCAATAAGCTACAGCTATTTAAATGTCAGTTTTGGTCTTTTAAATATGCATAGTTGTCCAGCCTAATATGAATGTAAGCGGTGTGTCAAGGTCCTATAAGGTTATTCTTATGCGTTTGCAACTACAGGTGCATTATCGAAAAAGGCAGTCCAACTAAAACATTTCAGGTGCAGAAGCGTTTAGACTGGGATTTTATGTAGTAAGTCTTTGATTTTTAAGTGAAATTCAGTCATCCACATGGTTCAATAGCTTGTCGGCATTATAAACGGTCACATTAGCCTATAACCTTCTTTTGACTCTAGTAAGTAAGTGAGCATTCTCATGTCACATTACCATCGCTCAAAGGTTGTCCATAAACTATATTTTCACCAAGATTAAGATTTATGCTGTGATCAAAAGTTGCTTTTTGATTATTGTGAAATTTTTACGGCGTAATTCGTAATTTATATCCTGTTCGCTTACCGTGATCGCTTCCATTTAACATTGCACAGCTACACCATATGGATCTGACTGATCTTTTTGCCATTCAGCTCTCCGAGTAAGAGTTTAATTTATTCGAAGCTAGTCTTTGCCACCAGTGACCTAATGACCAGTACCTTGTTTCACTATCTCAGTTACTGACCTTATATTGTCTACGTCAGCTCTGTATTGTGTGATGGGTGTTTAGTGAAGTCTAACGAAGTCCCACTCAGTCTCTATATGTTCTTACTCCTTGCCGACCCAGAAAAACATCGAGAGTCACTTGAATTTTTCAACAAAATGCTTCAATATCGATAATGTTAGTTGTACTCAACAATGTTTGTTTAACACAGTAGGGAGTTTTCTTGATAAAATATATTGGCAGCTTCCCGTGGTTATTGATTCACATTTTCATATTTTACCTTTTAAGCGTAGATTAGTCATCTTACTTCATGTTCGACCAGTTGATTTGGCGTCCTACAATAGTTGTCTTCCTGGATCTAAAGACGGCATTTAATTTGTCAATCGTGAGGTTCTGTGGCAGTGTGTCATTAAAAGATGTACCAAAGAAGTACATTAACCTTGTACAAGCTGTCTACTCGAACACCACTGGTCGAGTGAGAGCTTATGGTGAACTGTCATAGGAATTCCTTACTTCCAGTGGTGGCCGTCAGGATGTCCACTTTCCCCATTCTTGTTTACTTTTGTCTTAGACCTGCTTTTAGATAAAACATTATCTTTGTCAGACTTTTCAGGAGTAAACCTTCTACCAGCAAAATCGCTTATGGGCTTAGGATATGCCGATGACATAGTTCTATACAGTGAAGACGCTGACAAAATGCAGTCTTCTGACCAACCTGAGCAACAATGCAAACATGTTCGGGATGCGATTCTCCCCCTCGAACTGCAAAATGTTACTTCAGGATTAGCTTGTATCGGCACCTGAACTAGTAATAGGGAGTGAAGCAGTTGAGCGTGTCGACCGCCTCACTTATCTTGGGAGTCTCATCAGTACTGATGGCCTGGTGACTGACGAAATCTTAGCACGGATACAGAAGGTTCGATCGGCTTTTGCCAACTGTTAGCGGGACATAAATTGGATTAAAAGCATGTTCCATACATGACTGCGTTGTTGCACGCTGATTGGCGACGAAAGAGCCAATCAGCGCTAGTCGATACTGAGGGAGCATTCTAGAACCTTCTCATGTAAAAAACTATAAATATACTTACGTTTTTAGCTCCCTACTTCCATCTAACCTTGTTATCGAAACATAATCTATTTCCTGTTGAACCGTTTTCTGATTTGGGAGAACGTCTCTAGTGAGTTGGTGTCCGAGAATACTAAGCATTAGGAAAAGCTGGATTGTAATAAGAGAGAATTATAACACCAAATTGCGTCACTTGTGGCGTAGGCGAGATATCTGTCAAGCAACCAAAGGACCAGTTTACTCTGCGTAAGTTCGCTCCATCCTATCATATGGACGTGAAATATGGCCAGTCATAGCTGAAGATATTTGGAGGTTACTGATTTTCGGTCATACGCGTCTCCAAAGCATTGCTCGTGTGTCCTAGGACAACCGAGTAAGCAATGCTGTCGTTAAGAAACGGGTCCTAGGTAAGGGTGGTAGATCAATTAAACACTGAAACTTCATTTGAGGTGGTCGGGACATGTTTTGTGTATGCCTAATCACCGACTGCCTCGTCCAGCTATGTTTTGCAATGTAGGAGTAGGCTGGAAGAAAGCTAGGGGCGGCCAAGTCAAAACATGGTAGAAATCCATGAAGTCACTGACAAGTGGACTAAGTCATGTTGGTAGGAGTCGACTACCTGGTTGGGGTCCGCGAGATGATAGTAATCGATGGTTAGAGACCCTGAATGACATGGCTCAAAACCGTTTGCAATGGGGCAGATGCATCTATTCTTTGTGTTCTCTCAAATTCTAACCTTCTGAATTCCTCATCTCTATCTTTCTCTTTCTAAATCGATTTCACTGAATTATACTTCTTGAATACCATCTTCGAACCCTAGTCTCTCTGATTCCTGCTAGTACTTCTACTACCTCTGCTACTAAGGGATTTGAATAGACAATTCGGTCCCTGTATGCTAATGTGGTATGGCAGATTGAACTGATGTACGTACGAACGAAGTTCTATGTTGTTGTTGATTGACTTATATTTAACCTGTCATACTGCTCATAATCACCTTCTCCAATATGATTAAATTCTAAATTTCAGTCCGTAACAACTCTTAAGAAGAGACAAAAAGGTTCAATATGTAAAGAATTACTTTAATATATGCAGAAACTTTAAAAATAAGTCTTTTAGTGATGAAATTCACTCTCAGAGAAGTTGGTGTTAGCACTGTCAAATAAATCGTGTTTTCTATGGGAGACCTGTATGCAAGACTAGTGATGTACTACTAATTCGCTCTCCATCTGTCGCTTTGAACAGCCTGTTCTGCGTGCGTTTATCTGGAAACCATGTGGTACTTTCTCCTGGTCTTGCTGCCGTTGGTGTCACATTAAGCGCTGGAGCTGACGCGGCGCTTATCAGTTGGATCCCCACTTACAATATTTTATGTGCTACTGATTTAGAAGGCTCTATCAAACTGGGAAAACTTGGTGAGAAACGCTCTAACAGATTACAGTCCGGATGCGATCAATCTATCACTGTTTACATGATCTCCAGAAAGCGCGTTCGGTACATATCGTAGTACTAGCGAGAGGCTCGAATGCGCAAGTCGAGCATCTAGGTACAGAGGGTAGTCGTCTGGGTGGCCTTTTGGTTCTTGTTTATCGCAGGTTAGATGATGGCGATCATCTGCTGCAACTTTGCTTGGACCACAACCTGTTTCTGGCTGGCGCTATCGACATAGTCATCACGGATGTGCTACCTGATGTCCTCCCTCTCCATCTCAACCTGGGCTCAGCTTGATCACATCACAATCAGCTACCGATGGCGTGGTTGTGTACAAGACTGCTGCTTGCTTTAGAGTACTGATTTTGACTCTGCTCATGCTCTTGTCTGTTCTAGTCTCATTTTACGTTTCAGTGGCCAACAAATTCATCCTAAACGGACTGATGTTAGTAAATTGGTTGTACCTTCTGATGCGACTAAATATCGAAGCAAGCTAGGTTCAAGGCTAGCTACCGATCCACCAAAAGTACAGATGATCACTAGTTGCAATCGCACAACGACATGAAAATGGTAAGGTCGCTTACGATTTCGCCAAATATCCTGCGCATAAGCAGTGGGTTTCTACCAATTCCTTAAAACTCGTTGAGGCACGCCGGTCTACTCCGGTTAACCACGCTTTTGACGATAAAAGAAGACCGCTACGTTATCAAGTAGTGCAAAGTTTGCATGAAAACTGAGAAACCTGGTAGAGTGTGCTAACGAGTTGAAAGTGGCAGTTGCATCTGGTAACTGCTAGAAGCTCTTTCAACTCATCCGAGCCACTGGCAGCAAGAAGTCTGGTGAGTGAAACAATCTATGAAGTTGATGGAACCCCAATCAAAAACATCCACCGACGATGGACAAATTTTCCCATGTGGTCTGCTACCATGGAGACATCGGTCAGACTATCCTGTCTTCCATGAAGGGTGACAACCGATCCATTCCGAGGAAACTCAACTCTCGAAGCTCTACAAATTACAAGACACAGACGACTCGCCTCTTTTTAAAGATGATGGCGACCTTCGAACAATGAGACTGAGCTACTTACAAATGCTTGGCGATTAGTGTTCCAACGTCGTGGATTCATTCAACAGTTGTCTCTCTCTTTAAAATAGGTTCACATTATCTATGTAACAACTATCTGAGGATTATTATTGGCTTCCTTCATATTTCGTAAACTGTTCAAAACCAGAGAGAGATTGGCTCGCAAGGAGCAGGCTAGATGTATTGATCATATCTTCGCCTTCCTTTAAAGATTACAATACCGCTACACTTGTTGCATGCCAACAATCGTTGTAATTCTTGACATCAGAGCCACCTTAACTTCCTTTAACAGGACTGTCCTCTGGGATCGTCTGTTAAAGAAGGGTATGCCTGGAAAGTTTGTCAGCATCCTAAAGGCCCTAAATACATACATTTAAGGCGGAGTGGGGGCATACAATCACATCTCCATTGTTTTATTCAAGCAGTGGGATCCGGTACCGTTATATAGTCTCACTACTCCTCTTCAAGTTTACCCTCAATGACGTTCTGGAAACTGCTTTAATGAATGTAGGTAAGTGATAGTGGTAAAGACCTGTTAGCACCTGGAGAAAGAATTTTCCACCCTGAGCATGCAGATGATATTGTCTTACTGTGAAATAATTCCCAAACCATGCAGTCTGCATTTAGTCAGTGTATATAGGTATGGCGTGTGCTTTGCACCTCCTAAGTTCAAAGTACTTTTACAAGATTGTCAAGGTCTTGAATCTGTACTCACTCTTGGTAGCTAGCAAATAAAGTAGTCGAGATGTTCGTGCATCTGCATTATCCAGTTACTGGTGGTGTCGTGAGTGGGGGATTAATTCACGTATAGCGGAAGCCAGAGCGGCTCATGCTAATCTGGGCCATTTCTGATGCCTTCGTAACGATAGTCTGGCTGTAAAAGGTCGGGTGTAAAATGCGTCTGTGAGAGCAGTTTTACTCTATGCTTGTGGAACCTGGTTTCTAAGTTGAGGATGTTATCCGACGGATTGCCGACATTCAGTGACAACACCATGTCAGTAGTTTGTAGGTTCGGAAACGTGTGCTTAGGTGCAGTGATAGTTCAATTGGTGTCACCATCTTAAAATATCGACTCCTGCGGCTTTGAATGTACTACGAATGTTGTCCCAGCGAATTCCACATTATGCATTATTTTACAAGGCTGGTACTGGTTGAAAAATGAGGAGAGGTGCTCAATGTGTCACATGGTTTCACGGTATGAAAAAAACTGCACATGACTGACATCTGTTGGTCCTTCACTACTCCCTGGTTGAGCTCCTAAAGATGGTGCAACTCAGTGGCTTGAGACCTTATCAGACAAGGCATAGAACAGAAGCCAGTGGTAGTCCTGTTTAGGTTTTTTTAATTTCTTCGCTTAAGTAAGAGAAACATCTTTAACTGAAAGAATTCTTTTTGATTGTATTTTTCTTAACTGAATTATTATTAATATTATTTCACTCTCATACACCAATTTCTATTCTGTTTTTTGTTATACTCAATGATCTTACTCATTTTAATTGTGTGGCACATTCTGGTGCCTCCTTGTACCAATGTTTATGTGTTTTAAATAAAATAAAATAAAAACGGCACCAGTTATACTGGAAAGTACGTCAAACTTGATCTAACTAATCTCACCAAATAATACATTGTTCGTTCATGTCTCTGTAAGGTCAATCCGAAAATGTTTTAATAGTTCTTTAAAAATTACATTCGACAGTCCTATGTAGGTTCCCTAATGACTAAAAAGATTTTCTTACTGACCACATCATTCCTCAATTATAGTAAATACTTGACATATATGTCTGTTATGATAATATATGCCACCAGTTGATCCACTTAATCTAATTCAAAAAGAATTGAATAGATGAAAAACTAGATTGATCAATTATCATACTAGCTAGTGTACAACTAGTCTCCTAACTTCAAGCCTCATCCAAAAACGATAATTCAAGTTACATAAATGTTATGCTCGTCATCTGATATGCTTGAAACTATTACGAGTTCACCTTAGTCGGTAAACGAGAGCGAAGACAAATGATCCAGTGACACGATAGGTTACTCTAATCCGAGCATTCCAAGGCCCCACCAAGTAGGGGAAGAAATCTTGACTAGACGTAGAAAGTGTGTTCTAAAATCACCCAGAAAATCGAGGTTGACAAGCACACAAATCGAGTTTATTTATGCATCATAGAAATATCCTTGGGAAAGCCACGAAAATAGCGTGCTAAAATACTACATCAACCAATGACAGTCAAGGATTTTCCGGGTGGGAAATTTAATCTCAGGGTAAACTGATCAGTCCCCAACAATAAAACTAATACTTTTCAACACGGTAAGAAAACATAAGCGTTTGTTCAGGGGTTAGGCTAGCTTTAATTTGCTTATCAATTAACAAGTATTCACAAATAAAAATTTCAATAGTTCTAACCACTTACTTATCTTTTCTTCAGAAAAAAACACGAAACAGTCTTTTGTAACTGCAGCTTCCCTTGACTTCAATGAATAATAAAAAGTCACATGATGTTAATATCATTCCTAAATCGGATATTCGTCAATTGATTAGAGTTGCAAAACCACAAGCTCAACGTACTATTGATCATCCTCATGCAAGATATAATCAACTTGGTCGAATATCATGTATTTTATGTGGTGTACAAATCAAATCAGAATTTGCTTGGACTGCACATATATTAAGCAAGTCTCATAAACAAGTATGTACTGAAAAAAAAATGTTTTTATTTGTATTTTAACAAAAAAAACTATCATAGAATGAATTACGTGGAATTCAATTACCCAGTAAACGTCCTAATACAGAAGCTAAACTAACTGATGAAGTAGTTTGTAAATTGTCAAAAGTTGAAGACAAGGTATGTGTGTGTGAAAATGTCTATGACGTATCTTTTCATGTGTACAGATTAAGTCAGATGAGGAAAATTCGGATGTTAACAGACAAAACAAATTATCAACTGTAATTTCTGATGAAAAGATATGTGAAAAAAATCCTGCAGAGAAAAAAATCGAATCACAATCTCAACTCCCAGAAGGTTTCTTTGATGACCGATATAAAGACGCCAAGGTATGTCATTATAATAAAAAATTCATATTTTGTGGTGACAATTCCACTTCTCTTTTATTTTATAGGTTCGATGTGTTCCATATAAGGATAAAATGGCAGAAGAATTGGAACTTTTTCAAAAAGAAATGAATGCTTTGGAAAAGGTAATTTGATACTTTTCGCAGTGATAACTACTCATTTTTATACCAAATAAATGCAAATCCATAATTGGGTATAAGTTTATTTACTCAAATCTGAACTACACTTATTGTCTGGTGAAGAGATTGTTCATTCAGAAATTCAGAACAGGAATAACATAGAGCTTACAGTTTAGTGCTTTACTGTTTTGCTTACCAAACTATCGCCTCAAGCTTGTAACTTATTGACCATAAGTCAAGTTGTAAAACCATTGAAATGACTGATTTTTCACCTTAGAGGAATAACTGTAGTTTATGAAATATATTTGAATTTCATTGTAATGGTAATAGGGACATCGTTAATCCTTTTAATGTGTTAGTGAATAACAACCACCTTTTTTAATGTTATTTTTTGTTCTATTGTACAATCGAACTCAGTTACAGAATGCACTTCCTACGATATACCAAACTCATTGTACACATAAGTAGACTGAAATAATGTAATAAAGCTTAATTAAAAAACTGAATTACAGTATGTACAAATTACAAGAGCATGTTAACTGAGAATTTGAGTAGATATGTGGTCAGTGTGCCTTGTTTATGATTTATTGCCCACCGTCTGACCTTGAACTGACATAGGAGCACAGAAATATGATGATTTGATACCCTGCCATTCTATCAATTTTATTCTGTAAGTGTTTGATATGCATTCGAATATTCATCATTACATTTAAAAGCGTTCGTTTATCTGACTGGTAATTATTGGCTAATTGACCTTTCATTCATCCTGAAACACTCTTGTATATTTTCGCTTCCATCCTTGATCCCATACTGTCTGACAAATCAAGTAGCGTTAATGTTTTTGCCGTTAAGTACTCTCAAGATATCGAAATTGTACTGGATAAGAAATAGTTAGGCTAAGAGAAATCATTCAACAGCAATATATTCTCCCAACTTACTCTTGTTTCGCACAGCATACACCGAGATAGGCGGCGGTTGTCCAGGTCGTGAAAAGCAGACTCAAGAAAACTAGACTGGTTTTCGACCTGGACGTGGTTGTATAGACCAGATGTTCACTTTTCGTCAGGTACTAGAACATAGACACATAGCTTAATGCGGCGTTTGACTTTTTATCGTGAGGTTCTGTGTCAGTGCCTGTCATCGGAAGGTGCACTAAAGAAGTACATTGACCTTGTACAGGCCCTCCACTCGAACACTACTGGTTGAGTAAGTGCTTATGGCGAACTGTCATGAGAATCGATTACTTCAATTGGTGTTCGTTAAGGTTGCCCTCTTTCTCCATTCTTGTTTAACTTTATCATTGACATGCTTCTGACTACCTTAATTAATAATTTAAGTATGTTCAGGATGTGATTCTTTCCCTTCGAAATACAAAACGTTGCTTAAGAATTGCTTGCGTCGACTCATGAACTATAGATAGTCTACTGCACAGCAGTTCGTTCTGTGTTAATGTGGCAACATAAACTGACGTACATACGTACCAAGTTTCACGTTTTAGCTGACTGATTGGCCATGCTATTCAGGTCGTTTAATGATCAGTAAAATAAATGCAGGGAACTGAAGTCCCAGTAATGAAGTCGTACTCCCAACTCTACAGAGGCATTATGTGTGTTGGGTGCCTCCTTCAGATAACCAGCACCTGCATCGATCCTTCCTTCCTAATGATAAAAGAGGATGTTAGAAAATTCCAACCCTCAATCTGACCTTTAAATTACCGTAACTAGATATAGGATCTGATAATGAACATGCCAAAAACTAATGAAAAAGTCATACGTGACCTGTATCAAGGAATTGTCCCTTAATCGGTTCAGTCACACTCTCAGACTGCCAAAACTGTCTGTAACAAAGTTTATTGTACACATCCCTCAAAAAGAACTATCTTTTCTTAGTATGGGCAGTCGAGAAGAGATAACTATAGCCTTCATATCTCTAAAAACAAACTATATCATCTTGTTTACGGTCAAAATCCTTTCCTTCCAACCATTGGAATATCAAATGAGTTATGATGCACCATATCAATATATTTAATGTAATTAACAATAGCTGATTGATATATAATTAACTTTAATCGAAGATTAAATTTTAAAATGATGAATTCACATGATTTATGCATAAATGCTATTCCTAAGCTTGAATTTAAATATGAAATGTTACTACTCTGGTTCAGGTGAGAGGGTAAAGAAAATTTCGCAAAACTATATTCACATGCTTTAACTTTTGATAAAAGATTAAAAATTGGATTATTATTATTATTGTTATTATTATTATTAGTTTTAATTACTTATAATTGAATTTTTTCAGCATTCAGAAGAAATCATGGAAAAAGAAAGTGAAGCATCAGTTTCTGAACGAAATTTAGCTGAAATAAATGAACAAATGTAAGGCGATTTGGTTTAATAGCATTGTTGATTGTTTTCTAAAGGGAAAGATTGCATTGTGACTTTGTGATAGTGAACTTTTTATTACTTTTAATGCTTATTGATTGAATATCGTTAAATTTCGATGTTTAATCATGGAGTCTCAAGTTTGAACATCATCCAGCCTACTTTAATTTTGGCAACCGGGTAGCATCACTAGGCGTTATGATATTTTTGAAACATGTTAATCAATAGCACTTAGATCTGTAAATGTCCTTAATTTTAAATCAGAGTATATTGCACAGTTTATCGGAGATTATGACGTTACTTGCAATTGGAAACTGTTAAGGCTGAACCATAAGTTAATCTGATTTTTAACAAGTCACATTCCCATCTGATAATGTTTTCTACTAATTAGTAGTTCTATTTTCTCAAATTTATTTATTTAGCATTCAAAGATCAGATTACCTGGATCAGTCATATGAAACCCAGCACCTAGCACTTATGTCCGCTAGTTCTAGTTTACACCGCATTTTAGATATAAAAGAAAATGAAGAATGAACTAATCTGGGCTATTGTGACCAATTTTAAGTCATGTCACCTAACATTTCCAACAATTTGTTTCGATATTTGCGTGACCTACTATTCTTTGCTTATCTCTCTCATATTACTAACAAGTAGTTAAAATTTGAGGCTAAATGTTTCAAGGTGTGCTTCTTCTGAAAACACTATTATCATCATATAGTTGATGAGTTTCATTGTAATGACGGATCTATCATTGTTATACCACCATTAGAAACCTAGGAGCACTGGACGGCCGCTTCCTCCTAGTATGGGACTCATTGCTAGTGCTCATCCACGACCCCCTCTCGTGGGAATCGAACCTAGGACCCTCTGTCTCTCTCGCGAACACTTCTAGACCACTAAGCCGGCATCCGAAGGTGTTAATGTCTAACGTTGATCAATCCAAGGTATTGTGCAACCTCATCTATTTTCTTTGGTAGGTAACTGCCTACACACGCACTGCTGATGAGTCCCATACTAGGACGACACAGCCGTTCAGTACCTCCAGGTTTCTAATGATGGTCCAACAATGATCTATTCATCATTTCAAGGAAAACATTATTTTCTGATGAATATTGAATGAAGTAATATTAAGGATATAATCAGTATTAATAATTTTTGATCTGAAATTCAGTAATAACAAATCTTTAGTTTTTATAATATCAGTTACCTAATGTAAATAACCACCATTACAAATCAGCTCAATTTAAAATGTATCAAAATAATTATTCATCTTAATTAGATCATTTATCATGTCTTTCATACAACTCAATACGAGATCTCATTGTACTAATTCATGATTATGACTTTTTATGAAGGTTAAATTGAAGCGTTTCAATAAAATGTCACTGACTTTGATATAGGTTCTAGTCCCTAAGAGTTATCTATGGCAAAAATAATAAATCCCTTAATCTGTTTTAAAGGGTGAATATTTTGTAAATCCGTTGGCTGTAATTAATTTCTATCTAATGAAACTAAATTTGGCAGTATACAACATAGTTAGATTTCTAGTGTTTGGTCATGTTATAACCCCTATCTAGCCATGTGAATCAGAATAACAACACTTCGAGATAATCCTCACCTAGACCTTTACTATACCCTCGATTATTCTTAATAAAATGTAGGAAAGGAGACATTTTACTATCACTCAAACCGACGATTATACAAGGGGACTACATGATTATCTATGGAATTTTTCAGGTCATCCTTAAGAATTGACCATCAAAAATGCAACTGAGCTTTTTATCGCTAACTTTCACTGCACACGATCGGTTCAAAGATTAATAACATCTTATTTTAATAGGGGTGGTTAAAAGAAAACATACAATTAGTTTATGGAGTTACTAACTATTGAACTGATTCACGTCCAGGAGTATAGATTTAATAATTGAAATGTAAGTTGTAGTCGTGATCTACGCTAGAAGGCTTACATTGCTTACATCACACAAAATCGATCACAATGACACATGCATTCATTTTCCTTCCTAATCTTCCTTTCAGTTTTAAGTATTAATTCTATTTCGTACTTATTACTCCTTAGTTATATGTATTTGTGTCTAACTGCAATTTGTTTTCTGTATTCATTGACGCATTGTGGCAAACTAAGTCCTGCTTTAGGTTGTTTATAACTGGCCGACCTTGAAAAGATCGATAATTCGTTGATATCACTATGGTTTATAGTAGTTCTTTCTGTTCATTCAGATGAACACAGACTCTAAACACTCACAACTCTTTTATATCTACTTATTCGATATTATTTTATCCTACCACTTTTGTTTATTTCTCTCATATTTAGAAAGAAATGGGAAAAAATCAAACAATTAGAAAATGAAAAAGATTTATATGAAATGCGTTTAAAGAAAAAACTAACAGACAGTACAAATCAATCTGAAAAACTCGAGAAACATATTGACATTAAGATAAAAAAAGAAGAATACTACACAGAAGATGATGGTGAAAGTGATGATATTAAGAATGATGACGATGATGATGATGATGAAGACAATATCTCCGATGAATTAAATGATTTTCGAACAAAAAATACAGTTTAGATGGAATAACGAAAGACATTATCATTTCCTGTTCTTTGTTTTTACCACATACATAATCGTTTCTGTACATAATTGTCTATAGGATAATGTATGTGTATCATGCTGTTCATGATGTGGAAAAGATAATTTATAAGAAATAAACTACTATCTAGTTTGTAAGTAATATGCATATTTGCTATAAAGTGTAAATGAGATATAGACAAAGAGAATGATATACATGTGTAATGTATGTATATATATATAATATCTAAATAATTAAAAAAGAATTTTTTACAAAGTCTTGTACTTTTTTTCATCATTATTAGATTCCCTGCCATTATCTCGGCTTTTACTTTCATAGTGCTGCCGAGTATTTTGTTCTTTGTGCAAGTAAAGTAAATTGAGTTTTGTTTTGTAATCAGATTAATTTTATACACAATAATTAATGAATGATCAAGATACAATGAAAGTGATGTGGTCGATTCTACAGAAGAAAAGATGATGAAAGGCGAATAGGCATATGAGAATAAAAAGTATGTATATCTCATTGAATGAAAAGGTAATATACGATTGATATATTCATCGGGAGTTGTAATGGGATTTATATGTATATATACATATATATATAATATTTCACTTTCCCTCTAGTTGATAAATTTCTGTGGTGATTCTATCGGCTTTTCATAACCGAAGTAGATACGGGAATGTATATGTCTTCTTCCAAGTAAATGATCAATTTGACGTGTAAATCCGGCATCGAAGACATTTTCAGCTAATTTAATTAATGTTCCATTGTTTTCTGTAAAACTATTCATTAAATTTGTATATCGTATCCTCCATTCAGGATTCTCACTTGGTATTACTAATGTACCATTCTGTTATAAATTAAAGAGGAAAAATATCATATAGGTAATTGTTTGACTAATAAATCTTATAACACTTGTTTAACTATTGAAAGTACTTGTATTTTAGATATACTGTTGTGTTATGGATAATACTAAAAACAACAAAGTAAATATTGACGTGGTGACTAAAGAAGTAAATGAACGCGACAGTTATAGCCAGACTTGTATTAATCGCTTTTAATTCAGTGGGCACCCAACAACTATTACGATGAACGGGAACAAAATGTTTGTTTCCCTTCCCTATCCAACAGACGATGATATAGGGTAACATGCGTTGCTATTTGCGGGTTCTTTTGTGTATCTTCGAGAATCAACTAATCAGGATGAGAGTTCCATGGTATCTGACACGTGTGGTTTAAAAAATTCCATAGTAATGATTACTTCGAAAGTCTCGTTTTTACTTGCTTCTGGTCGGCTTTTCAATAAATGATAAATTTCCAAACACTTTTATATGCATATTTCAGCCACTGGAATTTATGAATGTTGATATCTCTGAGCTCGATGTATGCACGCATACCTGTACTGTTGACAGGATAGTTCTTGTGTGAATGACACAGAAGAGATTGTTAAATACCAAAACAGCACGAAAATCCTGTTCGATGTTTCATCGATTTTGAATCTTATTTTAATATTTGTTAATGATTCTGCAATTCAAGAATCATACCGGACATATGTATTTGGGGTTTAACATAATATTGTTCATGTAGAAACATGTCTGGTTTAATGGTGAAAAATTTAAGGTTTATATCGATTTTGGTATCCGTATTCATTAAAGTTTAGTAAATAAGTTTATTATGTAAATAACACAGGTATGATAGTTGTTAATAGGGAAAATATATACGAACTAATAAGTCATGAAACCAAGATGAAATAAATCATTTGAACTTATTCATCATTTAAAACAATATCCACGTTGAATTTTAATTTTCCGTTTAAATTTAAAATTGCCTCCTTTGTTTTAATAACTATCAATCAACTACTTTCCTACTTAGTGGATTAGTAAAATCCACAGTAAACAAAAGTGGAATATACATTGTTTTATTAATTACCATATGAAAAAAGAAACTAATCTATGATTTACACCACTTAGAATAATACAAATCAATGAACTGTCCTAGTTTTTTTTCTAAATCTCCTTTCAATTTACACATTAGAAATGCATGACAGTCGTCAGTCAGTCAATTACAACGTAGAACTTTGTACGTAAGTAGATCAGTTCAAGTTACCATACTACATTAGCACATAGACGCAAATGTCAGTCCGAACCCCATAGTGATGGAGATAGTAGAAGAATTAAGGGTAATGGAGAAGATTAGGGTTCGAAGATATTATTCAAGAAGTATACTTCAGTGAGATGAATATAGATAGAGATGATGAGGTTAACATTTGAGATAACACAATGAATAAATGCGCCTGCGCCATTGCAAGCAATTTTGAGCCATAATCATTGAAGGTCTCTAACCATCGGTGACTTTCATCTCGCGGACCCCAACCAGGTAACCTACATCTACCAACATAACTCTATTCACTTGTTAGTGACTTCATGAATTTCTACCATGTTTTCGATTGGCCGCCCATAGCAGAAATTCATGACAAGTTGGAGTGATACAACAACAACAACAATAATAGCAACGTAACAGTTTTCAAAATTACTCCAAACAGATAATAATAATAATAATAATTAGTTTCGTTTATTTCTCTGAAATTTCTAAAACCTTAATTATATCATTGTAATGTAAAGATATCAGTATTTAAAATAGTCGTGACTATGGTGGTGATTTTATTATCATTTAAGTTTTTTTTTTATTTTTATTTTTTGATAACATTCTTCTATGTCTACTGAAAAAAAAATAATAAACTGAACCATATATTATCAAGTCTACTTCTATCCAGAAAATACTATCTATCATCAGAAAAAGTATGTATTTCAGTAGTATCATGTCTATTCTATGACTATATAGAATTTATAGGTTATATTTATCATTCGATAAATCGATAATTCACAATGATACAATAGATTTAGTCTAATTTTTCAAATGAATACAATATAGGATACTCAACCAGTTAGAATACTGTCAAAAGGTAATATGATTTAATATATATTATTCATAGTGAATAAAATTGATTATAAATTTAGAAAAAAAAGTAGCCATTATATTTAAGCTGACTATATAAATGCATATATATATATATATATATATATATATATATATATATATATATATATATATATAAATATAAATCACTTTTTTGCTCACACACGCATTCCGTGATTCAATTAATCACGCATTTTCACTACACACTAATCGTGATTAGTTTATGTGTGAATTAAATTTAATTTAGTAATACTTTTATAATAGTTGATATATTCATCCGTAAAAGAGATTGAAACCAATCATGAATGAATAAATAAATAAATGTATATACTCTCATAGCAAAATGTATCATCTTTTGATTGTATTAAATCAGTAAAAGATACAGTAAAGAGAAAAATCTCAGAACATTTTTTGTCTACATTAATTAATTTTTCTTAAGATAAAAGAAAAGAAAAAGATTCCATTCATTGAATTGTTTATTCTTTTATTTGTGTGGTTCCAGTTACCCCATTAAAAATCCATATTCTTTGAAAAATAGGGAACAAGTGAGCGCTCAGACGACAGAGAAAGATAGAGAGCTACACAAGCGTAGGCGAGATATCCGTTTGCTGTCTTACTTTATGGCTGTGAAACATGGCCAGTGAGAGTAGAAGATATTCGTAGGTTACTGGTTTTCGATCATAGGTGTCTTTGAAGCATTGCTCGCATTTCCTAGGACACCCGAGTGAGCAACGCTGTTATTAGGAATTGGGTGCTAGGTAAGAATAGAAGATCAATAGATGAAGTAATGAAACTTCATCAGCTGAGGTGGTTGAGACATGTGTTGCGTATGCCTAACCACCGACTACCTCGTAGATCTTTGTTTTGTAGTGTAGGAGTAGGTTGGAAGAAAGCTAGGAGCAGCCAGACCAAAACATGGCACAAATCCATGAAGTCATTGACAAGTGGACTGAGCCATGTCGGTAGTTGTCGACTACCTGGTTGGGGTCCGCGAGATGATAATAATCGATGGTTAGATACCCTGAATGACATGGCTTAAAACCGTTTGCAATGGCGCCCGTGCATTTATTCTTTGTGTCCTCTCAAATCATAATCTTCTGGATTCTTCAACACCTCTAGTTTTGACTTTCTAAACTTTTCTCACTGAATCATACTTCTTGAATAATATCTTCTAATCCTAACCTCTCCGATCACTTCTAATACCTTTACTACCTCTTCTACTATTGAATTTGAATTGACAATTACATCCCTGTGCTGATGTGGTATGGTAACATGAACTGATGTACTTAAGTACGAAGTTCTACGTTGTATCTGACTCTGACTGACTGACAAAAGCATTGGAACTTATATAATCAATAGTAATCATATATAAAATGTTAATTTTAATACAAATTATAATAATATTGATGAACACATACTAATCAATATGATAATGTTTATATTTAATTCCAAAGAAAATAACATACACTACTACGATATGCGCATCAAAGTATTTCTTTTAGTTATCGTAACATACTAGGACAGATAAATTACTGTTATCTATCAAATCTAAACTACACAGTTTGTCTTCTCTGCAACTGTAGCCCAGTAGTATATTGGGACTTCAATGAAGTACACATGCTGAATTAAAACATAGTTGTCATTAGACGATGCAACTGGAAAGCAGTTTATTTTTTCAAATTCTGATATCGATATGTTGTTATTATTAACTTTTATTAACCGAAAATCATGAAAATTCAAATATAATCAGTGTGCTTACCTTTTCTAATAATTCTCGTATTCGTTTCATTCGTCTAATAGTTGGTTGAAATTCAATCACTAATGAAATGATAAAATTATCTGATCTTGGTCGTACACGTTCAATTAACATTTCTTCATAGTCTGTTTCATCCCAATCGACAAGATGAATTTTAATTTTGCCAAAATAATTTAATATTAATTCATCAATCTATATAAAAAATATAAGAATAATGAAGAAATAAAATGAAAAATCTATTGAATTAATGTGAAATAGTCAAATTCAATAAAAGTCTAATAAGTATTAGTGTAAAGATTGTACAATAGAAAAAGTTATTCAATTTCATAGTTTCCATTATGATGGATAAGTGCTTATAGTGAGTGCGATAGGAAAATTAGAGATTCAATTCTCAATGTGGTTGTAAATCTGTGCACGATTCTAGATTTTTCTCATTTTTGACAATTATCCCCAACTAGAAAATTTAATAAATATTTAAGGCAAAAATATAAAGTAGTCACAAAGATATGTAAACGAATGTATCAATTAATCATGGTTTTGCTTCTTATATCTCATTGATCAATAGATGTCATTTGATAGAGAGGTTTAAAATTGTTAGAAATCTACAAATTACTACTAATGAACACTTGCAATATTAAAGAATAATTATTTAAAACATTGGTACAAGAGAACACCTAAATATTTATGTACCACACAAATCAGTGAACTTGTGTGTGAGGTGGGATATTGCCCGCGTTCCCTAAACTGAAGTTGGTAGTTTTCTTTGGAGGTCACTGATCTGACCTTTGAACTACAGGTCTAATCCACAGGACAATGGGGCAACTCCAGGAGATGCAGTCCTATGGTAGCCGGTTACCAACAATAGGTTCCCTGAGGATACTGGAAGCAATATGGTACTACTGGTTTGGAATCAGGGTATTCCAATTCCCCCAAGGTGGATCTTTCGTACTAAAAAAACACGATTAAAGCGACAGAGAGTCAATTTTCATCCCCTCAGTTTTGCGAATAACACCCTCTCTGCTAGGACTTCCCTAACAGAGGTTATATACGCGTAGTCATTTCGAAAGGAAGAGTTGACTCTTAACACATTCAGGAAATTTTAGGGGCTTTTTAAACAAAATTACTATTGGATAACAGTTAATAGTAATTTAGAGTAATTAATTATTATTGTATTTCCTTAACTATGTTCTTTAAAATTTCCAATAATAACTTTCTAACAAAAAAAATGTTTATTTCAGAGTTGTTTCAATATAACATAAGTAAATAACTAAAAATTGATTTTTAGTAATTAATTCAAAAATCAATTTACACAATATACTAACTACAAGGTTTATGATTTTTCAAGTTTGAACTGGTTCTTTTTTGTGTTAATGCTAATATTGTTACATGTCTGACCAAACCAAAGTTACAGATAGGAATTAAGGTTAAAACTAACAACCAAATAGTTGTTGATATACAATCACTCTTAAACTACCAGTATTCTATAAAGACAAAAATGAGGTTACATAAAATGATAGAAACAATTTACAGCTCAGGTGGATGTTTTTGATGCTGTTGAATTCTTTGAGCTAAATGAATTTACTATTGAGAACTTCTTAATTATTCCACAAGAAATTAAATCATTCTAATAGTTTTCTCTATGACTGATTATTTTGAAAATAGCTCACTTCTACATGAAGTAAACCTTAACGTTATCGAAAACTTGTCAATAAAACTATATAGTTCAGAGAAAGGATTGAATAACACCAAAATATAAGTATCTGCCTACGAATGATACTGAAAGTCAATCACAACTTCATAGAGTAGAGTAATCTTTTAACCCAATTCAATATCGAGATAGTGAAGAAGATTTCAAGCTACGGAGTGGATGATTTTGATGGAGTTTTATTCTATAATCTTGATGGTTTAATTGTTGAGCATTCATTATTCTTATAAACAATATTATCAGTACAAAAACTTGTATCTCTATCTCCACGATCAAACCATCTAGTTTATAGAGTGATACTCTATCAAAAATCAACTCGGTAATATTGGTGTGTTATACATCAACATTGAATACAATGTTAAAAATACTCTTACATAATTCAATGATAACAATTCATGATTGAATTAAAATAGAGAAAATCAATTTAACATTCATATTTTGTGCTAATCACGTAATTTACTTTCAACTAATCAATACATGTTCTATACACATATTAACATGCATAAATTTCATGTGTACCACTCGCTATGTCAACTTCTTTACGTCTCAAAAACAAAACAAAAACAAACAATGTCAAATCATATGACTATTAAGAAAAATGTATACAAATCTATGTAGTACTTATCATATTGAAGTTTCTTCTATCAGTCTATATAAATAGAAGAGACTGTAATCACAATAATGATTTACATTGATCTCTTGTTAAAACTATTATTATTGTCTATTCGGTTTATATTTGAATTTATAAGAGAGAGAAAAAAAAACCTTATTACTAGATTAAGTTGATATTTGTCAAGAAAATTATCTCATCAACATATTGATTAATTTACAAAACTCATTTTAAATGTATCACAACCTTGAGAGTTGAGTTTTATTATTGCTATAACATACAATATTTGTTTTTCCAATTCAACTACAATGTACTTCAATCAATAGAGTGTTACTCGATAGATGATTTTATTTGGATTCTAAGTAAAACTTCAATTATTGAATAATCATAAATTATAGAAATAAATTATTTTTATTTTCTGCAAAACTAATAATCCTTAACACATTGTGTAGTGAAATAAATATTTATTGAACTAGTGAAAAAAATTTTTTTTTTAATTCAATCGTTATTTCACAAAGTAATAATCAATAGAATAAGTTACATATTAGCAGAAGTGATTAGAAACTATTTGATTTGATACTGAAAATGTTATTTATATCATTGTGTCATGTCAACAATAGTCAACAACATCAATCATGAATAATTAGTTACCATTGTCTAATAGATACACTTTGTATGAGATTATATATATATATATGTATATATAGTGTAAATTTATTTATATACGAATGTCAGTCATATGAATGACCTGATAGATAATGTATGCGTATGTATATGTATTAAAGAATTTGCATTTTAAAATGGTGTCGTTTTTTGAGGTAAACTATCTATGAGATTAATACACTTCACTATATTAAATAATGATTATCATTGTGTTTGAATAAAGGACACTTTTTGTTGGATTAGTGTTTTTTTTTTAAAAAAATAAATTAATTAAGATTTAAACACTCTGACCAATTTGTATCAATCACTACTATTGGAATATCGACACCTGGAAACGATACCTCGATAGGTGGATAGATATGTGAATAGATATATATGGTTGCCTCTTTTTTTTTGAAAACTTTTTAACTAGACACAATTTGATGATAGAAATGTTACATTTTTGACGATTTATCATGAACAACAGAACTGTACTCACTTATTCAATAATATTCGGTATTTCTTTTTAGTCATGTCAATTTAGTGAAAGCGGATCTTGAAGTTTAGGAAATGTTTGTAGTTTTTACGACAGATATGCTCAAGTCAGACAATCTTACAAATCATAACGTATTCGAACTTCTCAACTGTGCAAATTTACGACTTCGTTGGGTGGTATCAAACCCATAACTGAATGTAAACTCAATTTTCCGAAAGTTAAGTGCCTCTACGAGATCTAAAGATCCCAATTTCGATCTATAGTGGTGTCGTGAACGCGCACAACCGAGAAATTCGTTTGTGTTGTGGCCAAGAAGTTACTGCTGAAAAGAATAGTATCGGATTCGCATGTAGGGTTCAATCAAATTTTTTTTAAAACTAGGAGACAAGTAAAAGAAGACAGCCAATAATCCGCTTGCTTTACAAATGCAAGATTGAGGATAAGATGTACACATCTAGCTAGTAAACTCCGTGCCAAGACAAAAAAAAACACTTATCCAATTCTTCATAGCTTTCAGTGGCTACATCTAAGTAATATCGGCCGGCGATGTAAATTACAGAATACCAGGTTAGTTTACAGTAGACCAATGCAATCAGACTATTAATTATCCAGTCTTATGGTTAATAAGAAATTTAGTATTTCAAATTTAATTAGCTCACATATTAATCTTTGATTGAAAAACATTGACATAAGATTATATTAAATTTTAAAAAAAAACGGTCGTCTGTTTTTTACTAATCCTTATTAGGTTCTATGTTGAATATCCGTCCTGATCCTCTACCAAAATCCTCAGAATAACATAATTTATCATCTATTTTTCTGAGTACATTCATCTTCTTAATCAATAAGTACAAATCTAGTCATATCTAAGTTACATGTGTTTCACATGTGGAGAGAGAAGTTCCAAATATTCATATAAAATGGAGTTAATTAAAAAGAACGTATAAACCAATCAACCTAGCTACCTACTTATCTACTGACGTACCTACTTACCTACCTACCTGCGCATTTATATATATATTCATACCTAGAAAGTAAATTACAATCCATTCACTTATAACGTTGGTTTCTTCATGTATTGATGGCTATGGTGATGATGATGATGATACACTTTGATGTACTATTTAGTTACTTTATTTTTTGATAAATTTTCGTTTTTTTTGACTTCACTCATGAATTTATTCTGTGCAAATTTATGAATGATATATATTTACAATATACAAATACATTTTACATCTACAACCATAGCATGAAAGTCTAGAAAAATACCCCTAATTATATGATTTATTTGTTTGATCATTTTAGAATTCTGATGAACAACTTAGGGAACAAGTTAACAATATCATTTGGGCTATCAACTGTTTAATGTACTAGTTAATACATGTCAACAAAGAATACATACTATCTTCAATGATCTAACAATGACCTAAATATTTTACACCTTTAATATAACATGGCAAGAGTTCTTTCCATCTAAATCATCAATTCGACATAACTAATCTCAAGTCTATTATCTTTAATGTTTATTTGAATCATACTAATAACGATGTAGAATACACTGCAAGGAAAAAAAACAGTTCACTTATAAACAATAAAATTCTTTACAAACATATATTTTATTGATTTTATAAAACTTACATCAGTACTAGCAATAATTAATGATGAATAATCAATCATTCCAGGTTTTGCTGTCATTGCATAATCTAAACAAGGAGATATGTCATCTGGTGATCCACAAATAAGAATTTTTTGACGAGGATGATGATAATCTATGCATGATTACAATTAAGAAACAAAAATAATACAATGAATACATGTAGTTATATTAATGAAAAAAAATTATAACTATTTATTCAATTAATATTATCCTGGGGCAGAGTTTTGGAGGTTTTTGAGTTTTTACACATTTGAAATCATCAATCAATCATTGTTCGACCACCATTAGAAACCTGGAATCACTGGACGGCCGTTTCGTCCTGGTATCCCTAGATCAATCAGAGTTAGACATTAACACCGTTAGATGCCGGCCCACTGTTCCGATGGTAAGGCGTTTGCCTACAATGCCGAAGGTTCCGGGTTCGAATCCTGCGAGGAGCAAGCGTCGTGGATGCGCACTGCTGATGAGTCCCATACCAGGACGAAACGGTAGTCCAGTGCTTCCAGGTTTCTAATGGTGATCTAACAATGATTGATTGGTGATTTCAAATGTGTAATATTATCATGTGAGGAAAAAGCTTATTCATGCATGAAATAACAGTTACCGATAAGCTCAAGCTCAAAATTTCAAACAATGAAGATTTGTTTTCTTCATTTTTTCTTAAAGATATCATAATATGGGGGTTCATACATTTTCTAAATTATAATCTCCAGATTATTCGACATTTATACTCTGTATCATTTTGATTTATATTACAAACTGGTTTCAGCTAGACCATCAGTGAAAATCAAATAGCCGTTTCACCATCCTAGCATGAAACTTTTCAGGTTATGAAGATGCATAACTTCACCTTGGATTTCGCAGCTCATTTTAAATATTTTAAACTATTGAGTTATTATGCTATGGTTTAAACTGCTAAACCTCAATCACTTTATCACTCTATCAAATCATTTTCTGATGTCATTGACAAAGGAACTGCCGCAAACTCAACATCATAGGCTTAAAGATCATGCTGTCAATCTAAAGTGAGGTCATAGAGAAGGCATCCTATACCAGAATGAAACACCTATCTACTGTTTTTTTTGTTTTTCATATTAGTCAAAAGAAGGTCATTCCGTGATGTAAGCTATGAAAGTTCAACAATCTATACAGACCAACTATGTTAATGATGACGAAGTTTTCAGTGGTCAATGGAATCTACGTCATCTAAAATTTGTCAATCCAAAATGGTTGTAAACTCCATCTGTAAAAGAATGATAGCCACTACATTTTTGTCACAGGGTATGAAAGTCCCAGATCTTTTTCCAATGAAGAAATAATAAGTCCATACTGTTGAGATAATTTCAAATTAGTATGAAATAATTATTTAGTACTCCTTTGTGTATCAGTTCATTAGAAAAAGAATCTCCTCAAACTACGAACAGTATTTGTGACTTTTTTTGCATATGACGTGATATTCTTACATACATACACACATCAGTACATACTCTCCTGTATGTTATAGTGAACACTGTTAGTTTGACAAGAGTAAAAATGAATTAACAGAACATACTATTTCATTGAAATCATGAACAGATTAATGTTAGGCCATCATTATAAACCTAGAAACCCTGGACGGCCGTTTTGTTCCAGTATGAGACTCATCAGTAGTGCTCATCCATAACTCCATGAGCTGGAATCAAACCCGTGATAATTTTCATGTGCCCATTAGTGACTAGCTTCGTAAGGAAATTCTTGAGGTTCTACGAAGAAACTATAACCAGCGGAGTTCAACCGTATAGGATGTGAGACAGTTACCCACCTAAGACAATGGATGAGGTTGCACAATATCGTGGATCGACTGAAGTTAGATATTGACACTGTTGTGTGCCAGCTGACTGGTCTAGAAGTCATGTTCGTGCACGAGACAGATCCTGGGTTCGATTCCTTCGTATGGCGGTAGTGGGTTCGCATAGCTGATGAATTCTATACTAGGATGAAACGGCCGTCCAGTTCTTCCGGGTTTCTAATGGTGGTCAAACGTTGATTGTTTCGTGATTTTAATGAAACTCACCGATCCCCACAACCCTATAATGATGACGATATCAATCATTGATCAATCCTAACTTAATAAATTAATAACCATGACCTGCGTTGCAACGTATATATATATATATATATATATATATATATACGTTGCGACGCAGGTCATGGTTATAATCTTAAAATTATACATATATATATATATATATATATATATATATATATAATTTTAAGATTATATCTTTGTATGTATTTATTAAAAAATAAATAAATTCATTACACTATCATTGATTTTTAGTTTTTCTATTAGAAATCTATAATCATTAATTTCTATTGTTTGACAAGTTCATATTACAAGTCCCTATTACACTTATATTCAAATGAAAATAATTTTGAAATACGGTGTGTGTGGGGGGGAGCAATTGGTGTCATTTTGCAGTGTAAATAAATTCTATAAAAATTTCTTCTTATCTTTACTTCATTCGTCTTTTTTTAAAATTAATATTTCCAGTGTGATTTTCACTGAACTTGAAATTAACATCAGTATAATTATTCTCCATATTTTGAATTGCTTACTTTTAATGCTACGAATTTCTTCTTTGAATTTGCTGATAAAATCTGATAACAACTTGAACCGTAATACAATTTGTTCATACGGTCGGTCATACATCAAATGAAGAATAACCGGCTAGCATTCTTTAGTCAGTCAAATGATAAGCAGTGTGACGTCTGGTACACACACATATGTCGATAGTTATATCATGTCAGCTTAATGAGATGAAATTATCAAAATAAATACCAGGAGTAGTGGAAGCAGTGATAATATCAGTAGTAGTAGTAGTAGTAGTAGTAGTAGTAGTAGTAGTAGTAGTAGTAGTAGTAGTAGTAGTAGTAGTAGTAGTAGTAGTAGTAGTAGTAGTAGTAGTAGTAGTAGTAGTAGTAGTAGTAGTAGTAGTAGTAGTAGTAGTAGTAGTAGTAGTAGTAGTAGTAGTAGTAGTAGTAGTAGTAGTAGTAGTAGTAGTAGTAGTAGTAGTAGTAGTAGTAGTAGTAGTAGTAGTAGTAGTAGTAGTAGTAGTAGTAGTAGTAGTAGTAGTAGTAGTAGTAGTAGTAGTAGTAGTAGTAGTAGTAGTAGTAGTAGTAGTAGTAGTAGTAGTAGTAGTAGTAGTAGTAGTAGTAGTAGTAGTAGTAGTAGTAGTAGTAGTAGTAGTAGTAGTAGTAGTAGTAGTAGTAGTAGTAGTAGTAGTAGTAGTAGTAGTAGTAGTAGTAGTAGTAGTAGTAGTAGTAGTAGTAGTAGTAGTAGTAGTAGTAGTAGTAGTAGTAGTAGTAGTAGTAGTAGTAGTAGTAGTAGTAGTAGTAGTAGTAGTAGTAGTAGTAGTAGTAGTAGTAGTAGTAGTAGTAGTAGTAGTAGTAGTAGTAGTAGTAGTAGTAGTAGTAGTAGTAGTAGTAGTAGTAGTAGTAGTAGTAGTAGTAGTAGTAGTAGTAGTAGTAGTAGTAGTAGTAGTAGTAGTAGTAGTAGTAGTAGTAGTAGTAGTAGTAGTAGTAGTAGTAGTAGTAGTAGTAGTAGTAGTAGTAGTAGTAGTAGTAGTAGTAGTAGTAGTAGTAGTAGTAGTAGTAGTAGTAGTAGTAGTAGTAGTAGTAGTAGTAGTAGTAGTAGTAGTAGTAGTAGTAGTAGTAGTAGTAGTAGTAGTAGTAGTAGTAGTAGTAGTGTAGTAGTAGTAGTAGTAGTAGTAGTAGTAGTAGTAGTAGTAGTAGTAGTAGTAGTAGTAGTAGTAGTAGTAGTAGTAGTAGTAGTAGTAGTAGTAGTAGTAGTAGTAGTAGTAGTAGTAGTAGTAGTAGTAGTAGTAGTAGTAGTAGTAGTAGTAGTAGTAGTAGTAGTAGTAGTCGTAGTAGTAGTAGTAGTAGTAGTAGTAGTAGTAGTAGTAGTAGTAGTAGTAGTAGTAGTAGTAGTAGTAGTAGTAGTAGTAGTAGTAGTAGTAGTAGTAGTAGTAGTAGTAGTAGTAGTAGTAGTAGTAGTAGTAGTAGTAGTAGTAGTAGTAGTAGTAGTAGTAGTAGTAGTAGTAGTAGTAGTAGAAAACACTAGATATAAACAACACGATTCAAGAAGAAAGAATAAATTAGCGGAATAAAAATTTTTAGATAATTTTAAAACTCAAAGTGTAAGGAAAGAGAAAGAGTAAGTATATCATTTACATTTCGACCGATTTTCAGTCATATCATTCTATATCTTCAACAATCATCTATCCCTGATATTGCCAACCTAGAAAGAAAAAACTTTAGCAAAAAATCTAGAACGCTTTATAAAAATAACAATTCATTCGACCGTTAACTTTATTTCAACATCAAGATTATTAATAAGAGGGTGGAATAGAAACAGACTGTATATAAAGTTGTAATAGATGTGGTGATTGTTTTAAGAATTAGTAGAAATCTCGTCAATGCAATCACATTTGTTAAACTAATAAATACTAATACCATCATTCTGGTTCTTACTGCTAGTCGAATAGATCATCGAAATCACCCTATTGATTGCAAGTCTATTAGTGCAAACAAACATTTTTAAAAGAAATTTAGGAGCATTCTATCAGTTAGACACTTACTTCTAACAGTCTGATCTAGTAAAACTATGTACTGTAATCATATTCACCCCAACTTAATGATGAAAGCATACCATAAAAAGTTTTACTCATTGCATAAATTCAACTTTAAAGTTAGTAAACAAGAAAACTATTTATTTAACTCTTCTTGGTACTAATAATCAATCAGAAGTGAAATTTGATGCAGTCTGAATTATTCTGCATATTCAGTTGCTAATTAAATGGTTATTATTTCTTAATAAAGTTTTAAGTTCTCTAGTGATAAACAGTAACAAAGAATTATCTGAAATCATATACGTAACCACAGTAAAACTGACTGAATTTTGCTGTAACTATACAATCTTTTTGAACAACATATCACCAGGAAATAAACATTTGATATTATCAACATTGTGTTTACAATGTTGGCGGTCTCATTTCTTCTTATTCTGATGTTTCTTTGTTTATTCTGATTGACTGCCGTCAACTTAATTGTGTTTACACTCATAGGTCAAATTAACTAAACAGTTCTATGAAAGAGTTCAGAAATAATGTTACCCTGGAACATTTAATTGTTTAGTTGAGTAATGGTAAAAACACGTGACTTTGTTATTAGTGTTATGAAGTAATTAAGTTCATTCCACTTTGTATATTATATAAACAAGAGCACCTAGAATGTGCACTGAACAAGATCTATTTAGGAAAGCAAACCTGTTCTTTGAATAATACTAAGTACGATAAAACAGATGAAAATTTACATATAATATGTGAAAAATGCTGAACTATTTTCTCATTGTTTAAATAGAATTTAATAAAATAAATCTTGTGAATAACTAACAACCGATTGATGTACCTAGAACATTCAATAAGAAGCAAGACAGAAAATTTTATCCAACATATAAGAAATATGCTAAATATGTGTACTTAATTTGAAGTTTAACAGTAGCAGTAACATTGATAGTAGTATTAGTAGCATAGCAATCGAAAAAAATGATTGAAAGAGAGTTCGGGACTCAAGTTCTAGATTAAGAGAAAGAATGAACACAGTTGCACTATTGCAAACGCACTTAGCCATATAAACCAAAGTCTATAACTGTTATCGCCATAACCATTGATGATCTCAAAACAAGTAGACCGTTTTCATGAACATCGCATGGTTCAGTTTTCAATGGCCCCATGGACTGGTGTTACATCTTGGTTTGGCTGTCCCTAACTTTCTTTCAACTTCTACACTAGCCATCATCTCCCCTCGCGCTGGTTGTGCATACGCAATATATATCCGATATCTCAGTTAATTAAGTGGTTGGGGCATGTGTTGTGACGTATCCCATTAAAGGCGATTGTAATTGTACTCAATATTTCATCCACTAAATTAATGATTATGTTTGTGACACGACGGTCACTGTTTACAGTTTGACACTACAAACTTACTTTGAACAAACAAACAGTGAAAACCAGGAAGTACTAGATAGTTGTTTCGTCATAATGCGGAACTCCTCAATAGAGCACATTCACGAACCCAGCAAGCATTGGGCTCAGGATATTTAGACGTTGGTGCGGGTTCTTAACTTTGAGAACATCGATCTGGGATCCAGTGGTCCATTATAGTTTCCCTACTAGTGACTAAGTTCACAAGTCAATTCCTGATGTTCTAGCTAAAAGCCGCAACCGGTGAGGTTTAGCCATATTAAGCAAGAAACAAATATCATAAAATTCAATGAATGATGATAACACAACTTATCAGTTGAATGAAGTTAGGAATGTAAACTACTGGAACCCAACTCAGTAGTCTGAAGATCAATTGCTGGAATCTAGGCCTATAGCTCCTTGTTTCGATAATTGTTATGGTCTTGAGTATGTATCGCTAAGGAGTCCTATGTTAAGTCTAAACCGATATTCGGTTACATCTGGTTGTCAGCAATTATCTAACCACAGTCATTCCGTCATGTGGAACTTTAATTTCAACAATCTCAATCGCTCTTTACAATAACGATCATTGAGTTCAAAACGATGGCGGGAGCCATTGATTGAATGAAGGATACAAAATTATGTGTAGCTACTTTAAGTAAGACCGTGGTACAAATGTTCAAGTTGTCCTTCAAAGATTAAACAGTGATAGTTTAATCATCTGATTTTTTTTGTCGAAGCCATGATTCTTCAATTGGTGTCAGCTGGTAATGTTAATCAACTTCACACTACATACACCACATAATACATCATTTTTTTCATTTCAAATTATTTACTATGAAGGGATTTTTTTGTTACGAAATTCATGTATTGTATAGACGTCACTGCTATTTATTTACTTTTTTATTTATGCATATCTTACATAGTTTTTTTCTAAATACTAATCTTGTTCTCAACTCCGCCAGTAGAACCTTAGGGGCTACTGCCGGTCCCAAGCCCGGATAAAGGAGGAGGGTTGGACATGGGGTTGGCGGCCCCATTCCGTTGAAATCTAACTTGCCAAAAAAACGCTAACCAGAAAAAATAATTCAAACCATTTTAACTCTGCCCTGGGAGTTGGAAGAAGAATTATGACGTCTCGTGATGAAAGCCGAGTTCCCTCGGAAGTCACGGGGCCGATGCCTCTTCTGACAACCAGAGCAACCATTTTTTTAGGTACATGGAACGTTCGTACATTGTGGGAGACTGGAAGACTATTTCAAGTTGCGGCAGAAATGAAAAGATACAACCTCGAGGTGCTCGGCATCAGTGAAACACATTGGACACAGGTAGGACAACTGAGACTTGCTTCAGCGGAACTGCTGTTATACTCTGGTCATGAAGAGGAAAACGCTTCACATACACAAGGAGTTGCACTGATGCTGTCCAAACATGCACAAAAGGCACTGATAGGATGGGAATCTCATGGACCCAGGATCATTAAAGCATCCTTCAAAACAAAGAAACAGGACATTACAATGAACGTCATCCAATGTTATGCACCTACCAATGACTACAACGACGACGTTAAAGATCAATTCTACGAAAGGCTGCAGTCAATCGTCGATAAATGTTCACCAAAGGATTTGACGATTCTTATGGGAGACCTGAATGCCAAGGTTGGAATGGACAACACTGGATATGAAGACATCATGGGACGACATGGACTGGGAGAAAGAAACGAAAACGGTGAGAGATTTGCAAACCTATGTGCCTTCAACAAACTGGTCATCGGTGGCACAATATTCCCGCACAAACGCATACACAAAGCTACATGGATTTCACCGGATCACACTACTCAAAACCAGATTGATCATATCTGTATCAACAAAACGTTCAGAAGGACTATGGAGGATGTGAGAACCAGGAGAGGAGCTGATGTAGCCTCAGATCACCATTTGCTAATCGCCAAAATGAAACTGAAACTAAAGAAGCACTGGACAACGGGACAGACAACATCGCACAAGTTTAATACGGCCTTTCTTCGGGATACTGTAAAGCTCAACGAATTCAGGATAGCCCTCACCAATAGGTTCCAGGCCTTTCAGGATCTACACAATGGAGAGGACACAACATTGGAGAACAATTGGAAAGGGATTAAGGAGGCAATCACTTCAACATGTCAGGAGGTCCTTGGTCGCAAGAAGCATCATCACAAGGAATGGATCTCTGTTGGTACTCTCGCAAAAATTGAAGAAAGGAGGAACAAGAAGGCAGCTATCAATGTCTGCCGAACAAGAGCAGAGAAAGTTAAGGCGCAAGCCGAGTATACAGAAGCAAACAGGGAAGTGAAGAAGAGCATCAGAGCTGACAAACGAAAATATGTGGATTATCTAGCAATGACGGCGGAAAAGGCTGCAAGAGAAGGAAACTTCAGACAATTGTACGAAACTACAAAGAAGCTCACCGGGAACTATCGTAAACCAGAACGACCAGTGAAAAGCAAGGAAGGGAAAATAATCAGCAACACTGACGAACAGCGAAATAGGTGGGTAGATCACTTTAAGGAACTATTGAATCGACCAGCTCCACTGAACCCACCCAACATCGAAGCAGCATCCACGGACCTCTCAATTAATATTGGCGCACCTACGATTGAGGAGATCAGTATAGCCATCAGACAAATCAAGAGCGGCAAAGCAGCAGGACCAGACAACATTCCAGCAGAGGCAATGAAAGCAGATGTGGAAGCAACTGCGAAAATATTTCACATTCTCTTCAAGAAGATTTGGGATGAGGAACAAGTACCATCAGATTGGAAAGAAGGATACCTCATCAAAATACCAAAGAAAGGCGATCTCAGCAAGTGTGAAAACTACAGAGGCATCACTCTTCTTTCAATACCAGGCAAAGTCTTCAACAGAGTATTGTTAAACAGAATGTAGGACTTCGTAGACGCCCAACTTCGAGATCAACAGGCCGGATTTCGTAAGGATCGGTCGTGTGCTGACCAAATTGCTACATTACGGATCATTGTGGAACAATCAATTGAATGGAACTCACCACTCTACATCAACTTCATCGACTACGAGAAAGCATTCGATAGCGTGGATAGGAAAACACTGTGGAGGCTTCTTCGACACTACGGTGTGCCTGAGAAAATAGTTAACATCATACGGAATTCTTATGATGGATTCAACTGCAAAATCGTACACGGAGGTCAGCTGACAGACTCTTTTGAGGTGAAGACCGGTGTCAGGCAAGGTTGCTTACTCTCACCCTTTCTCTTTCTCCTGGTCATCGACTGGATTATGAAAACGTCAACATCTGGAGGGAAGCACGGTATCAACTGGACAGTTAGGACGCAGCTGGACGATCTGGACTTCGCAGATGACCTGGCTCTTCTATCGCACTAGCAACAACAAATGCAAGAGAAGACGACGAGTGTAGCAGCAGCCTCTGCAGCAGTAGGTCTCAACATACATAAAGGAAAAAGCAAAATTCTCCGATGCAACACAACATGCACCAACCGAATCACGCTTGATGGAGATACCTTGGAGGACGTTAACACCTTCACATATCTTGGCAGCATCATCGACGAGAAAGGTGGATCGGATGCAGATGTGAGGACGCGGATTGGCAAAGCGAGGGCTGCATTTCTACAGTTGAAAAATATCTGGAACTCCAAACAACTTTCAAACAAAACCAAAATCAGGATTTTCAATACAAATGTCAAGACAGTTCTACTGTATGGAGCGGAAACTTGGAGAACTAGCAAAGCCATCATCCAGAAGATACAAGTGTTTATTAACAGCTGTCTACGTAAAATACTTCGTATTCGTTGGCCAGACACCATCAGCAACAACGAACTGTGGGAGAGAACAAGTCAGATTCCAATGGAGGAGGAAATCAGGAAGAAGCGGTGGAAATGGATAGGACATACACTACGAAAAGCACCCAACTGCGTCACTAGACAAGCCCTCACATGGAACCCTCAAGGCCAAAGGAAAAGAGGAAGGCCAAGGAACACACTACGCCGAGAAATAGAGAAAGATATGAGAGGAATGAACAAACATTGGACAGAACTGGAGAGGGAAGCCCAGGACAGAGTTGGTTGGAGAAAACTGGTGGGCGGCCTATGCTCCATTGGGGGTAACAGGCGAAAGTGAAGTAAGTAAGTAATCTTGTTCTCAATTCGATGTTTTATTTACTCAGGGTCACATCTACGTATCTCTATAAGACAAACAAATAGAAATCACGTCATCCCAAATGCTAGCTAAATCCGATATTTGTTTTTACCATGAATGACCTTCACCATTTATGACTAATTTCACCTACTTTGTTATGTCTCAGTTCATTAAAACCAAACAACTTAAACAAATAACAGACATTTGAATTTATCGATTTTCTAAATGGTTTTATTCGTTGCAGTAATCGAATATCATCATACAAGTTGATGAGTCACCTATCAAATGTATCGTAGATTTTTGTCAGTACATGGCTATATACATTTAGTAAACATACACTCTATCAAAGTATTCAGTTTAAACGAGATATTTGTTCAGAGTTCGATTGTGGCAACTGTTTGAGTATTTAGAACTTTTAGTTTAAGTAATCAGAATCACAATTAAAGTAATCGGAATCAGTAGATGTGTGCATAAGATAGCCCAGCAGTTACATCACTTGATAATCAAGTTATACATTAATCATGCAACAACACTCACATCAGTCGAAACAGGTAGATTTATAACAATGAAATATGAATTAAACATTCAAAACTTTGCAAATCTACAGTGATCCAGGTATAACAGTAATAATAATTATAGATAGTGGTCAGATATTTTCTGATCCACGGTAAAAAGTGTAACTTTATTTAAAAAACCAATCAGAACGATGAAATACGAAGAAATTCAACAACATGAACCAAATGGACCACACACACATATATACACACAAGCAAGATGAAATTGACAAAAATTCAACAGCAGAAGATAAAAAAACGGAATTCAAATTAAGAAAAAGACTAACGGAAAAGACAAAAAAAATAATGAAATAAACATCTGGGGCGAAAGAAAACTTCAAACGACATACTGAACAAAACAACAGTCAACACGTTAACCGATCAACTAATTAGCTAACTATGAATGATATTGAATAAATCATATTTGAAAAGAATATGGTGACATTGTCTGACCCATTTGTAACCTTAAATGATTAAATTATCAATAGTGTGCATGAAAAATAGAATTCGATTCAAGCAAAATATTTTTAATTCATATTGTTTGTTCGTGTGGTTCATTGTAATTTCAATTTTATCATTGTAACGTCCAAATGTAGTTTACTTTATCAAGCTACAAGATTACATGAGAGTTATTCATTCATAATTATTCGAGCTCAGATTGAAGGAGTAAGGGTTTAAATTGTTCGAAGCATTGAACTCATTACCAAATAAGGACATTCATGTCAATAAAAAAGGGTAATCATATTTAAAGAGAAAGAGAAACTTAGATCTAGTGTTAATCAGTTCAAACGTTAGACAGAAGCTTATCTAATAGTTAGTTAAATTGTAAGCTCTGGTTATTGATCGTTGAGAGGAGAATCAGGCAGGCTAATCAAACGCATATTTATGCCATATGATATTTTCAATGACTATACGAATTGACAATGATAAATGTATATTAGCCGATCCATTTCCTTTAAAATCAGCAATATATATATGTGCATGCTGTGTCAATTTAACTGATAGCGTCTATTAATAAATAATTCGATTTAATCTCAGTAACTATATCATTGAGATCAAAATATATGAAGTATGACTTAACCCTGTGACTTAGTAAGATTTAATTAAATCGAATCGGTATTCTAATTACTATGTCATAAATGTGAATTGTATTTCAGTGATGTCTTAAAATAAGTAACTTAAACGATACTATGACTTTAAGGGAATAATGTTACTTCGTGCATAAGTCAGTCCTACTAATATAATATTGCAACTATCGGTACTACTACTGCTGCTATCATCAAAAATGATTAAACTTTTCTCTAATCATCATTAAAATATTTCATTCTTTTTTTATCGTTGAACTAATACCCTGACTATATCGAGTTGAAAGCTTTCTATCATTTAATCAATACACAAATCAAATATGACAAACATGTCAATAGTTGTAACTTTGAACATAATTGCATCTGTAAGAAGTTTACAAAGAAATTATTGTTTCTCAGTAAAAGAAATAGTTCGAAAAGTGCATTCCAGTCATTTTTTTTAAATACCATTAAAATTTTGCAAAATTTTGCAAAATTTTCATAATTTTAAACAGTCAATTGGTCAAAAACAATGCAAAACTTAACCTAATATACACATAAGCCAATGATGTTAATACAGAGAGGAAAAATTATCAGGAGGAGGGGGACAGTAACAATGCAGTAGCAGTAATATCAATCATAGTAGCAAGGACTAAGTATAGAGAATATGATTTAAGAAGAAAGATATGAGATAATTTTAAAATTTAGGAACAATGAAAGGACAGAGTTCATATATTCGCTTCATTGTGATCGATTCTCAGTCATGTCTTTGAGATGATGGCGAAAATTTGTAGCTCAGGAGGATGATTGTGATGGTGTTTCGTTCTTTGAGTTGGATGTTTTGGTTGTGGAGTTGTACAATTGTGATGTTGTTCAAAAGAACAATGAAAACTTCACAACCAAAACATCTCAGTCATGTCACCTTATTCCTTCAATTATTGATCACAATAATCGCATAGATTTCAAACAAGGCAGTTTATACCTTACAAGATTGAACATTTTTCGTAATTATAGTTTGTTTCTATCATAGTCTTAGTTTAACATGATTTAATCGTTTTGTGATAGATTTCCTATTCAGCTTTTTGATTTATTACCAATAAGATTTATTGACTTAGGCTCTAATTTGATAAGATGTATAACTGAAAAATGGAGCATACGATATAAAGTAATCAAGTGTAATAAGAAAACTGTCAAATATTTGGGTTTTGCACTCAATCGTTCTTCTACAAATTACTTACTTAAAAATTATTATCTCTAGGAAAGCAATATTTAGGATTTTCGTTTAATTACGCTATATTCAGAAAAGAAAATCTTATCCAACTAACAAAATGACAAGGTATGATGTCAACTAGTTTTAAACTATGCTATATTATAATAGTAACATCAAATTGTGATAATCAAAAAGGAAACAGAAACTTACTTGAAAATGATGACAAAGATGGTGTTCGCGGTGGGGAAGTTGTGGATACTGTAGGGAATTGAGAAGTGGTGTTTGACAGATAGTTATATTCATAAGGAGAAAATGATTTTTCTGACTTTTGTGTACTAATAATTAAATTAACAAGGAATTCTACTTCAGTTTGATCGTACATTTTGTTTGTTTTTTTTTTTTTTTCACGTTTATGTACAGTAATCAAGTTGTTTCTCTCCTCGATGACACTCACACTTATTCACAATTTAATAAATATTGTGCACAGATGTAAACAGTTAATAAAAGTTTGATTTTAAGATAAGGCTGGGATGAATTCAGCTCATACTCATTTATAGTCAAATTAGTGTACTCGACAAACAAATAATGTCTGTGCATTATTAACTCAAAAAGATCACCACGTGAATATGACTCTTAATGGTGCTAATCAATTTGTGTTTGTCTATCCATAAACATGTCTACCTAACTATTACCGGCCTTCTAAATAATACAGAACAATTGTTCACAAATCATCTAAATCTATTATCATCTGGTTGGACTCTGATTCCATACACCTGATTGTCTATCTATCTATCAAGTGTATGCATGCATGAACACCTATGATGGAGGGGTGTTGATGTTGGTGCAGTGATAATAATGGTAGAGACGAACCTGTAATATGGTTAAATGTTATCACGCAAGAAGATCATGATAATGTTTTATCTCGGTATGTTTTTGTTTGAAAAATGCAGGTTATAGCGAAATCGTATGACATCATTATTTTATCATTGATAAGATTGTCTTCTGAGGCGAAATAAATTAAATATTAAGCACTATACATCTTATAATACTAATGAATGCATAAAATAAATATTTCAAGGTCACTTCGACGTCTATAACTAAGTCAACTACACAACACGAACACGCATTATTCTAATGATTCAAATAATTGTAGCATTCATTTGATGTGTGATTCATAAAATATGTGTTGATATCCTATAAATTTTTACTAAGATGGTTTTTTATTTTAAAAAAAGAATCGAAAGTTATTCTTACTATAAACAGATATTTCATTTCGAAATGTTTGAAAAATATTCAGTAATATAACTACGCGACAATGAGATCTAGCAACGAGAACAGGGTCATTGAGCCACATTAATAATTTGTGTTTAACACAATCAATATGTAAGGCTATTGAAGAATGAATGCTTGTCTATTCAATTGGTTACAGTGAAAAGCCCATAAACTATAGCATCAATAGCAAGGAAGGGAATCAGTAATTCATTGAAATTAGCCAATCAGTACTCGAGTTCATCCTAGTTTGAATCATGTACGATTTAAAACACTGAACTCCGACTCACTGACTTCGAAGTGGGTGGAGTTCTATAAATCTTGTTTATTGAAAAGTTTCGCACAAGAGATTAACACTTGCTGTATTTCATTATTCCTTTATCTGATGTCAGTAACTCAAATCTGTTCAACAGTTAAACATTAAATATGAGCTGAATCTATATACAACTGATTAGAATTGGAAATTCTTTGAGTTTTGACTGAACTTTATTATTTTCCCTCTGTCATATAAAACGTAGAACTTCGTACGTACATACGTCAATTCAAAGTGCCATACCACATTAGCGCAGAGACGCAAATGTCAATTCAGATTTCATAACCGAAGAGGTAGTAGAAGTATTAGCAATAATCGGAAAGATTAGGGTTTTGAGAATATTAATCAACAAGTATAATCCAGCGAAATAAATTTGAGGAGAGAAAGATGAAGGTGCTGAGTAATTCAAAAAGATTACGATTTGAGAGAACTCCAAGAGTGAATGCACCTACAGCATTATAAGCGATTTTGTACTATGTCATTCAAAGTCTCTAACTATTGGTTACGATTGTCTAACGGACACCAACTAGGTAGGCAGTCTACACTTAATAATATGGCCTAGTCCACTTGTCAGTGGCTTCATGGATTTGTGCCATGTTTTGGTTTGGTCGCCCCTAGTTTTTTTTAGGTTCTGTACTTGAGTAACGCCAGACCACTGTACAAATGACAACACCGAACGTTAGACTCCCACCGTTCAAAAAGTAAGAAGACGGAAGACGTTGGAGAACACTTATTAACAGAATCAAAAATATATAATCAAACATGTGTATTTATACAATTATACATATAATCGATATTGTCGTTTAAATATTTGAATATTAAATCAAATAGTTCATCGATCGACTGCCCTTGAAATATTTAAGCATTCAATCGATAAGTTCATCAATCCACAATGTGCGTGGCTTTCTTCTCGATTGGCTATCCCAACAGTTTTCTTTCAGCTCACTCCTGCACCAGGCTCGTTGAGTCAGTCAGTGATTGGCTATAAGTAACACATGTTCCAACCACCTCAACTGATGAAGTTTCATTACTTCATCAATTGATCTGCCATCCTTACCTAGTACCCTTTTCCTAACCTTGGCATTACCTACTTGATAGTCCCAGGATGTACGAGCAGTGTTTCGAAGACACCAGTGATAGAATACTAGTAACTTACGAATATCTTCTACTTTTACTGACCATGTTTCACAGCTATAAAGTCGGACAGAGCGAACTTCTGCGCAGTACACTAGTCCTTTGGTTAGTAGACTGATATCTTGCCTACACCATAAGTGATGCAAGTTAGCAAAAGCTAGTTGGGCCTTCTTTATCCGTGCAGAGATTTCGTCAGTCAAACTGAAACATAACCATTAAAACCAGTATGCTCATCAAATAAGATGGTATATTTACTTTATGCGAAGTGTGATCACCGTGCCTACGTCGAAATAAATTCGACATTAACATACCTTTCACCTCGGCTTATCAATCAGACGAATGAGTCATTAAAATCTTATTGGCGATTTTTTGTAGACACTAAAATGACTAATAATAGACTGTTGGACATTGGCCAATTGTTTGTATATGTAGGCTTGAACATATGGCCAGTTTTGAAAACTGTTAGTTTTTTACGAATATATTTCAAAACAGTTCAGGAGATATTAAATCAATAAAACTAGTGTTCTGATTACAACTTGATCAATAAAATCCTTTCAGATATTGATTGATCACCAAAAAGTAATCAACTAATAGTAAATATAGTAGTTCTGCATGAGTTCAGTCGCTGACCGAGTAGCTAGCTCAATGATAACATCTCAGACTATGTAACAGAGTGAAGATAATTTGCATCATATAATGAATATCATTTCCTCAAGATTATAGGTGCGCTTTACTGATAGATGATATCTAATACAAAACATAAAGCCAGAATTTCTATCACCACTACTTACAACAACCTAACACTGTCATAATTCATTGTATCTTTTTGTCTCACATCTTAACTGTGTTAATAAATCTATAATTATTGCTGCAATGCGTTACAAATATTCAGCCACGTTCATACTAATAATTCTTTTTAAAAATCTTGTCTGAGATTTTAAAGTATTTTTGGCTTTTGGTTGTAATTATTCTTTCCATATGTTTTCTATGATTCTGTTCATTTATTTTATAGTCTGATAACTCTGGTAACGTTTGTTTAATGAGGCGTTAGAGCAGGATCTTTAAAAAAATACATGATAATTCTGATGAAACTGTATTCGATGGTTAATAAATTCACCCAGAATTGCATTGAAACGGATTCAAGTAGATTGAAAACTTATGAGAACATAATGAAAAACGAGAACTGTCTCTTACAAATAAGAATGAACAAAGGTAGCGAGCTATTGAACGAAAATTATCAGGATTATGTGTCTTCAGTAACAGTACGTATATGCGTATATACATAATACTCACCATTGAACTGGAAGCACTTTTTATGATTATTTAAATCTCAATCGTTAAGATTATTTCAAATATAATTTTCACAAATAATGTCTTCTTTATTCATGGCGCTCCATTTCGACAAAGCATGTTATTTATTTAAACAAACCAATGAGTATGTGAATGACTTGGAGCACTTTGAACAAAATGGATTCTCCTTATTTCACGATGTTGCTTAATTCTTGTTTATCAAAATAACCGATTGAAGTTAGGCATAAACAGTGCGGGATACCGGCTCCGTTGTTTCAATGTTAAGCGTTCGCGTGAGACAGAAGGTCGTTGGTTTGACCCCCATTCAGGGGGTTCTTGGATGCTTACTGCTGAGCTTGAAACAACCGTCTAGTGCTTCTAAGTTTCCGGAGGTGGTCTAGCTACCAGCATTTTGTGATTTCAACTATAAAAACGTAACTTATCGCATAATATTACAAAATCATTGAAGTAAGTAGCGCCAAAAGTATACTGTTGACCTTCTTTTTGGCAAGATCAACCATTTTGGCAAAACATAATGAAACATTATTAAAATTATAATTATTATAACTATTACTATTGTCGTTTTTGAGATGGTGGAGAAAACTTGTAGCTCAGGTGGATGATTGTGGTGGTGTTTTGTTCTCTGAGCTGGATATTTTGGTTGTGGAGCTTTCAAAAGAGGGAGGCAATCAAAACATAGTTGCAAACAACGACAGGTCAAAGGTCAACAACAACCAATCAAGATCGAGGTTAGCAGAACAAGCTACAGGTCAAACGTGGAGAAATTCTAATGCTTCACTTCTATCTGAAGTTCGTGCTGATGATGTTGTTCAGAAGAACAATGAAAGCTCCACAACCAAAATATCCAGCTCAGAGAACAAAACACCACCACAACTATTGTCGTTATCGAGATTATTAGGTGAATAAAATTTATTTTGCTTATTGAGAGAAATTAAAAGTAGCCAGATTGGTACAAACCGACAAAGGAAGTATTTTATAACATTTTCATAGTTTTAAATCACAAACTGAGATTAGGTAGATCACCATTTAAAGCCAGGGAGATACTGGACAGAGGTCTCGTCCGAGTATAGGACGATTCAACAGTGCACACTCAGAACCTCACGACAAGGAATCAAACCCAGGATATTCGGCTTTGCATTTAAATACTTAACCTCCAGATTAATGACCCATTGTCGACTGGAGTACATCTCTGACTTCAATCATTTCAAGATATCCTGCGATCAACATCCACTGAGTGAGGTGGATAAACGTCTCTTATCCGACATGATTAAACTCCGTTGGTCACAGCTTCTCGCTAGAACCCCAGAGATTGCATCATGCATATATATATATATATATATATATATATATATATA